ACATGGTGTACCCTGACTTCACATAATGTACCCTGACTTCACACAGTGTACCCTGACTTCACATAGTGTACCCTGACTTCACATAGTGTACCCTGACTTCACATAGTGCACCCTGACTTCACATGATGTACCCTGACTTCACACAGTGTAACCTGACTTGAAACAGTATACCCTGACTTCACACAGTGTACCCTGACTTCACACAGTATACCCTGACTTCACACAGTGTACCCTGACTTCACACAGTGTACCCTGACTTCACACAGTATACCCTGACTTCACATAGTGTACCCTGACTTAACGCAGTATACCCTGACTTCACACAGTGTATACTGACTTAACACAGTGTACCCTGACTTCGCATAATGTACCCTGGCTTCACACAGTATACCCTGACTTCACATAATGTACCCTGACTTCACATAGTGTACCCTGACTTCATATAGTGTACCCTGACTTCACATAGTGTACCCTGACTTCACATAGTGTACCCTGACTTCACACAGTATACCCTGACTTCACATAATGTACCCTGACTTCACACAGTGTACCCTGACTTAACACAGTGTACCCTGACTTCACACAGTGTACCCTGACTTCACACAGTGTACCCTGACTTCACACAGTATACCCTGACTTCACATAGTGTACCCTGACTTTATACAGTGTACCCTGACTTCACACAGTGTACCCTGACTTCACACAGTGTAACCTGACTTCACACAGTGTACCCTGACTTTACACAGTGTACCCTGACGTCACATAGTGTACCCTGACTTCATATAGTGTACCCTGACGTCACATAGTGTACCCTGACTTCACACGGTGTACCCTGACGTCACATAGTGTACCCTGACTTCACACAGTGTAACCTGACTTCATATAGTGTTCCTACTACATATGGTGTAACTTGACTTTATTTAATGTAGCCTGATTTCATATTGTGTCTCTGACTTTATGGTATAGCCTGATCATATGTAATGTACCCTTTCTTCACAGGATATACCCTAACTTCACACAGTGTAGCCTGATTTCACACAGTGTACCCTGACTTCACACAGTATAACCTGACTTCACACAGTGTACCCTGACTTCACATAGTGTACCCTGACTTCACATAATGTACCCTGACTTCACACAGTGTACCCTGACTTCACACAGTGTACCCTGACTTAACACAGTATACCCTGACTTCACACAGTATACCCTGACTTCAAACAGTGTACCCTGACTTCACATAGTGTACCCTGACTTCCCACAGTAAACCCTGACTTCACAAAGTGTACCCTGACTTAACACAGTATACCCTGACTTCACATATTGTACCCTGACTTAACACAGTGTACCCTGACTTCACACAGTGTACCCTGTCTTCATATAGTGTACCCTGACTTCACATAGTGTACCCTGACTTCACATAATGTACCCTGACTTCACACAGTATACCCTGACTTCACATAATGTACCCTGACTTCACATAGTGTACCCTGACTTCACATGGTGTACCCTGACTTCACATAATGTACCCTGACTTCACACAGTGTACCCTGACTTCACATAGTGTACCCTGACTTCACATAGTGTACCCTGACTTCACATAGTGCACCCTGACTTCACATGATGTACCCTGACTTCACACAGTGTAACCTGACTTGAAACAGTATACCCTGACTTCACACAGTGTACCCTGACTTCACACAGTATACCCTGACTTCACACAGTGTACCCTGACTTCACACAGTGTACCCTGACTTCACACAGTATACCCTGACTTCACATAGTGTACCCTGACTTAACGCAGTATACCCTGACTTCACACAGTGTATACTGACTTAACACAGTGTACCCTGACTTCGCATAATGTACCCTGGCTTCACACAGTATACCCTGACTTCACATAATGTACCCTGACTTCACATAGTGTACCCTGACTTCATATAGTGTACCCTGACTTCACATAGTGTACCCTGACTTCACATAGTGTACCCTGACTTCACACAGTATACCCTGACTTCACATAATGTACCCTGACTTCACACAGTGTACCCTGACTTAACACAGTGTACCCTGACTTCACACAGTGTACCCTGACTTCACACAGTGTACCCTGACTTCACACAGTATACCCTGACTTCACATAGTGTACCCTGACTTAACGCAGTATACCCTGACTTCACACAGTGTATCCTGACTTAACACAGTGTACCCTGACTTCGCATAATGTACCCTGGCTTCACCCAGTATACCCTGACTTCACATAATGTACCCTGACTTCACATAATGTACCCTGACTTCATATAGTGTACCCTGACTTCACATAGTGTACCCTGACTTCACATAGTGTACCCTGACTTCACACAGTATACCCTGACTTCACATAATGTACCCTGACTTCACACAGTGTACCCTGATTTAACACAGTGTACCCTGACTTCACACAGTATACCCTGACTTCACATAGTGTACCCTGACTTCACATAGTGTACCCTGACTTCACAGTGTATCCTGACTTCACACAGTGTACCCTGACTTGACACAGTGTACCCTGACTTCAAACAATGTACCCTGACTTCACACAGTGTACCCTGACTTCATATAGTGTACCCTGACTTCACAGAGTGTACCCTGACTTCACACAGTATACCCTGACTTCACACAGTGTACCCTGACTTCATACAGTGTACACTGACTTCACACAGTGTACCCTGACTTCACACAGTATAACCTGACTTCACACAGTGTACCCTGACTTTACACAGTGTACCCTGACGTCACATAGTGTACCCTGACTTCACATAGTGTACCTTGACGTCACATAGTGTACCCTGACTTCACACGGTGTACCCTGACTTCACACAGTGTAACCTGACTTCACATAGTGTTCCTACTACATGTGGTGTAACTTGACTTTATATAATGTAGCCTGATTTCATATAGTGTACCCTGACTTGATGGCGTAGCCTGATCATATGTAATGTACCCTTTCTTCACACGATATACCCTAACTTCACACAGTGTAACCTGAGTTCACATACTGTTCCATGACTTTCACACAGTGTAGCATGATTTTGTATACTGTACCCTGTTACGTGTCGAATTCCAAGTTGAAACCATGGGTTAACCCAGAAATCTTCACGCCGAAGAATTCAATGTGAAACCAACAAATAACAAAGAAAATTGATATAATAATAATGTAACTAATATATTTCAAAATTTACAAGGTTTACATATAAATACAAACTACTGTTAAGTAATTACAATTGCTGTACACAATAGAGTGGCAGTAAAAACGTCAGTGGCAGCACAATTGCAACGGCAGTATATAATATAATAGCAGTAGTAACAGCAATAAAGTAAATGATAATAATATTCACCTAGAGCAACAGTGGTCAAGCTTTTAAAATAGGCCCCGGCACAACCGCTGGTCTTGATGTTTTGTTTGTTTGTTGTTTTACGCCGCACTCAGCAATATTCCAGCTACATGACGACGGTCTGTAAATAATCGAGTCTGGACCAGAAAATCTAGTGGCTGACATGAACATCGATCGACGCAGTTGGGATCGATGACATGCATCAACCAAGTCAGCGAGCCTGACCACCCGATCCCGTTAGTCGCTTGTTACGGCAAGTATGGGTTGCTGAAGACCTATTCTATCCCGGTTCTTCATGGGTCTGGTCTTGATGTAATGTGAGATGAGAGAGGCATTCTCTTGCCCACTTACATAGTGTAAATACCTTCGAGAAAGTTCCAAACCATGCTGCATTAGCCTATAGCTGTTCTAGCAGATTCCATATTGCACTTGACTCCAAAATCATCAAAAACTAGTAACATTCACGGCAACTGCTTACATTAAATAGTAATACACTCCTGGCAACTAATTATTGTTAAAACACAATACAGTACACTGCCATTGGGGGTAATATACCAAAGGGTGAAAAGCGTACATGGAAAAACAAATTGGAAACAAAGTCATATTTTAGCACATTTGGGTCCGAAACCTCAGGGCCCATTACCCAATAAAATAAATATTATTCCACATCATAACTACCTCTGTTAATAATATAATGCACGTATGGTCGACAAGACACTTTTGGCAGAAAAAAACGAAAGAAATCGAATAAGTGTATTTCTGTAGGGGTGCCCATTTCATGTTGGCTTACGAAGTAGTTGTGCTAGAAAATACAAATGTCTGTCACATAGACGTTTAAAGTATAATGTGAAAAACAATGTTTGAACCTATATCATTAACTAATGTGTAACTATAATGCAACCTTTCTCAGCTCGCTGACGCTGTCTCCGATGACGTTATGTAAGGTGAGGTGAAATGGGGTTTAACGTCACGTTCAAGATTATTGCACTTTTATAGCGACGTGCATGCACATGTGTGGCTGCCTGTACTAGTCTGATGCCGATTTTATAGTGCTAGCCCACTGATATACCATGCCGCAGTTTTTCATGAATACCCCACTCAGACACAGTATACTGACAGTACACAGCCGACCAGTCCTTGTTTAAGCCTCTTAATGCCGACTTCCAGGCAGGATAACAACAAGTATCATCTTTTAACCTCTTTGGGCATGGCGCGGCCGGGGATCGAACCCCGGACCGTCCGCTCTCCGGGCGGACGCTCTACCACTAAACCACTAAGGCGGACGACTATACGTACGTGTCAACTGAGACATAGTGCATGTTTTAGACACCCTCTATTAGCCCAACTCATCGTCTGAGGCTCTGTCACTGACCAGGCTGAGTGGTGACACAACGTGTTCCACAGACCATCCTTGATTCAATATTCAGTGAGTGAGTATGATTTTACGCCGCTTTTAGCAATATTACAGCAATATCAAGAAGGGGGGGGGGGACCTGAAATGGGCTTCACACACTGTACCCATGTCGGGAATCGAACCCTGGTCTTCGTCGTGACGAGCGAACGCTTTAACCACTAGGCTATCCGACCGCCCGAACTCAGTATTCAGACTATATGAACTTAACATGCTCGGCGCACCTTTCAAACTTTCCAATACCAATTTTTCATTGGGTTCTCAAGACGATTTTTTTCATATAAGAAAGATGTTTGTCTCCCACACCTGCGTAGTTAATATTAATTGATAGTTATATAATAGTTAATATTACATATGTACACACAGTAAGATAAGGAGATGTTTTCAAAGTAATTTTGTTTTCTGCAATATGAAAGATATCTACTGATGTTCACTTAATTGCCAATCAGCCTTTGTCACAACGGTCACGATTGTTTGTTTTAGTAGTAACAGTCAGATAGACAACCTTTTTGTTACGTACAGCGAACAGTCTTTATATCTGACTTGGGTAAGTTGCCAAAGGTGTCCATACAAACTTCTAGAAATGTGAAATCAGTTTTTGAACTGGCAAACAAAATAGGGGCTGCACTTCATTACCTGACAAACTATAGGCATGTGTGAATCTAATTACGAAAGTGTCCTAGCAGTTGTTCCCAGAACATATCTCGAGCAGTTTCATCTTCTTGCGGCGCTGGCCATATTACACACGGATGTTCCTCAAGAATGGCGTTTATGGAGGATGAGAAAAGCCTCCCAGGGATGTCGCTCAAGAGGACCACAACGATCGTATGAGTTCCGCCAACGGCTCGTCTTTGGGCAAGGTTCATTTCAAACTGACACCATTCACTTTGGAGTGTATTGATAGACAGTACAATGAGGATCTTCCTACTCGTCTCCACACTCTCCACAATGTTGTCAACGATTGCACCTCCAACATCGAAGTCTCTCTCATGTATACACAGTTTTAGTGCATTTCTTTCCTCCATGCAGGGAATTAAGTGCTCAATAATCCATGTTGTGTCACTGGGGGAATAGACCACGAATCCGTCATAGGTGCAATTTTGGTCATCCCTCAACTTAGAGATTTCAAGGTGGTTGATGAGGTACAGAAGGTAGCGTAACTTCCAGCGACATTTGTAAATAATAGAGAGTACAGCCACAAGCACCACACCCAAAGAGACGAACCCAAGCAGCATTACATATACAGTCTTCCGGAACAGACAGTACTGTTCAGAGAAAGACAGATCAGATAATTGGGCATATTTGAACTCAGGGGGATATGCACATGTATAAGAAGATGGGTATCCGGGAAATTTGTAATAATCTCTCTGAATCCACTGAACAAACCATTCCATGTCACATGAACAGGAAAATGAATTATTTCTAAGGTTAATATATTTCAGAGTTTTTTGGTTTTGTTCCGGGAATGTATCCTCGTGAATCGTGCTGATAAAGTTGAAAGATACATCAAGATGTGTAAGCTTGCTCAGGTGATATAACATGTTTCTAGGTAGGCTCTGAAGTTTGTTTTTGTTCATGTAAAGTATCTCGAGTTGGAACAAGGCTCCAGGAATAACAGTTGGTACTGCCTTAAGTTGTGTGGACAAAAGACCTAAATACGTCAATGAATGCAAGTCTCTAAACATCTGGTTAAAGAAGGAATCGTTCATGGTATGGAGCTGGTTGTAACCCAAGTCAAGAATCTGTAGACCGTAGCATCCTGCAAACGCGTTTGCATCAATCTCATTTAATATTATGCGGCTGCCTCGCAGATTCAGCGTACGAAGGTTGGTGTTATTAAAAGCATAGCCGTCAATAAAATGTACATTTTCCATGTGATGCATGAATACCTTTTGTAAGTTTGGTAAAAAGGCCAAGGTACCCGAGAAAATATGACGGATGGGGTTTCCGTTCAGGGACACGAGCTCCAGCTTATCTAGACATGCAAAGAACGAGGAATTTATTTTGGAGAGAAGGTTGTGATTGAAAAACAACTTTTTCAAGTTTGGAAAATAAGATCCATTTGCAGAGCAAAAAGTGGGAACATCTTGTATGTTGCAATCATCAAGCGACAGCTCTTCAAGGGCAGGATAATATTTCCACTGCACTGTCTTTATTCTATTATGGCCAACTCGGAGACTCTTCAGGTCATGAAACTTCGTAAGAATATCAAAATTCAATTGTCCCAGGCAGTTATGGCTTATATCCAAGTATTGAAGTGACAAGGTAGGCATATGTTCGAAGAAACCACTTGATATATTGTTTAAATGCATATCCTTCAGATTGAGGCTGGTGACATTGCTGAGGCCAAGGAAACTTTCTGATAAAACCCATATGGGAATTATGTTGCTTCTCAGACATAGATTTTGGAGACAGCGTAGAGTGGAAAACGCCTTAGGGGATATATATCGAATGTTATTGTCAGAAAGATCCAGGTCCTTCAAGTTCAGATGACTTATATTTGAAAACTTTCCTTCAGTAATTGACGGTAAACGATTCCCTGTAAAGGTAATATTGTATATACCTTTCGATAATCGAGGTATATATGTAAGACCTAAATTGTCACACAAAGCAGTACCGTTCTCACATTTGCAGGGGAAACACGGTTCTTGAAGCCTTAGAGATTGGTCACTGATCTCTGGGTGGTCACTTCTGCACACGGTCAGCCTGGCAGACCACAGTACTATGAATGGTAAGGAGACGAAAATAATCCACGTATCCATTTTGCCTGTATAAAAGAATGAATATTTTGTACAAAAAACGTTACTTAGCGTCAGGTCATATATACATACTTTATGCAAATTTTGTGAATGGCGGGTATTACCGGTAGGGCAGGGCATGCTTACCCTTTTCGCGAACACCTGGCGTCATCACTGATTTTAAGTGGTCCATTCATATTATATACTTTACACAACTATTTTGCCCTTTACGCCAAATGGAATCTGTTTCAGCGGATAATCAAGACGGTTATTCTCTTGCATTGACATTTTAGCATTTTTTGTAACTAAAATAAGCAAGTTAAGTTCTAAATAGAAACAAAAAGCAGATTCTATTATTGAATATATACTTTCAACAGGTGTTGTTTTTGTCATTTACAGGCATTATTACATGCGACCCTTTAATAGATGGTATAAACATGATAACTATCATGGACATTGATAACATTTCAGGATCTTATGGCAATTCAAAATGTTGAGGGAGGGTGGCTTTAAGTTGGAGAAAATTGTAATTTTAAGAATTTGAAAACCGTTTCTTGTAACTGGACAATTTTAATTTGTTTGGATATCACCTATTTCAGATAGTGCAATTACCCTACACGTGTATACCATGCCTTCACTGCAAAACATTCACAATCTAATGTCAGGCCAAACGGGAAAATATGGATTGTGAAGTAAATAATAATGTTAAATAGACGTGTCATGGGTTGTTTTGAATAGAGGAACAGCATTATACAATAGTTTATCAGAATACAATTTAACATGTCTACGGTTCCAATGTAAGCCATGCTAATGAGAGGCATGATCTGATTTGAATAAATCAATTATCATTCAATATTTCATCTATAACGCAGCGATATCCCTTGGTTTACGAATCCGCCGACATAAATAAATTAATGTGATTTTTGTTTTTAAAGCATTTGGATTTTTATTCCGCCGACCAGAAATAAATTAAATGGTTTCAAAATCACTAGCGCTATCAATATTTAACAAACTATTTAAAATACTATATTGAAACCTGTTGAAAACCTCTTGCAAACTTCAAAACACAACTAATCAAAAGCAAGTTATGAAATTGGATTGTAATTTTGTATATTCGACCTACCGTCCTTAATATTTAGGCAAACATTCTGTCTTAACAAAGCATATTCATATTGTCTTAGATATATTAAACAGATTACCTCTCCGATCAGTTCTGACGGCAAACAATGTGTATCCAGCATTCCAGTTGAACTGACGCCATGTAGCGTGATAGTTTTCTCAAACCTTCCTTTCGATGCAAGCGGGACATATTTCACTTTCGAAACGGAATTATTCTGACAAAATCCACTTTTGTTGGTATTTACACTTAAAATTAATAAATAGCAGTACTAACCATCATATATTCACTCAAAATGACATCATCACAAGTTCAGTTAAAAAGCCATCATTTGTAATACTCAAAGGTTCTGATGCACTACCAGTTCTGAAGTAGGATTCCCTTTACAACAGAATCTCTTTGAGAACATTTTCAACATTTTCACAATCTCGTTTTTTCTTGGGTAGGGCTCTATCCTGCACTGAACTTTTCAACTGCTTCCGAAACGGAGTTCGTCCGTCAGTCTGTCCGTCCGTCATTCCGTCCGGTTCTCAAAGGGGACAAATTTAAAATCAATTTAAGTCAGAGAAATGAAATTTTCCATACTGGTGTTACTGGTCATAATGTCAAATGAGTTCGAAAATTGATGTCGTAAATTCAATTTTTACAGAGTTATGACCCTTGGTCCGTGATTTTCAACTTCGTGCATAGTATATGTGTGCGCAATGGGAATATGTTTTCTCAGAGACTAGTGAAGCTACATTAATGAAAGTTTGCATGCTTACCTAAGAGATACTTGTCAAGACTGAGTTCGAAAATTGGTCCCGTAAATTAATTGTTCACAGAGTTACAGACTTCAGACAAATGTTATTTGTGCAATGGGGGGGGGGGGGGGGGGCGGCGCAAGTTTTTTAACAGAAACAACTGAAGTTAGCTTATCCAAAGACATATAGCGAGAATACTACACTCGAATTCTCGTTAGATACCACAGAAAGTTCACGGGTTTCGTAACAATGGTATCTAACGAAAATGAGTGTGGTATTTTATCTATTACCCACCTTAAATATATATTTAAGTGTGTAAATACATAACAACTTTCATTCGTTGACAGACCAAATTGAAACCGGTTGCTAAATTTGGTTGTGCATGAATATTGATATATGCCCAATCATGGGCATTGTTGACATGTTTATGGATACGCATTAACAACATGCGCCTGCAGTTGTGTTTGCAAACAAAACAGCACCGACTCAAATTCAAACACTAGAAATCTCTGGAAATGCGATAAGAAAATACATGAAATATCAGATAAAACAGTTTAATAATGTTCAGAAGGATGACACTTGGACACATGGTATAATGTAACTGGACACACAGACATGTAGTACAGGAACTAACCTTGAATTCACAACATAAATGTTCTCATTAGGACTTTCCTTCAGTCAACTTAATGATGCCCTTTCATTATTCTATATATAATGTAATGAGCAAAATCACAATAAAAGTACCTTACTGTCCTGAAAATTTCAAATTCAACACTTCATAGTGCATGATGCAGACTTTTTGTCTTAAAACAAAATGATACTTTTACTTGAGCAAACATTATGTTGGTATAACAGGTTTTGCGCCCATTTCATTGGCTGTGGCATGAATTGCTTCTGATTGGCTACATCACAATGTTATCCTAGATTTGATGTTCAAACATTGTGATGTCACAAAGGTGACGTCAGCACACACGTCATAGGCAAAGTAAGGATTATGAATTAAAGGATATAGTCATGTTAAAAAACATAAACTTCATCTCTGGAAAAGGAAATTACCCTTGTCAATCAGAATAATAGATTATCTTTTGTGAATGTAAATATAATGTGTATTTCCTTATAGTTGTTTTTGTCTGAATCAATTATCAACACACTTGTAAAAGGTAGTCATCGCAGTACGTATGAAATAAGCCTTATCTCTTAAGTGAGTGAGTGAATGAGTGAGTTTGGTTTAACGCTGCTTTTAACAGTATTCCAGTTATATCGCGGCGTGTCAGCTTAATGTGGGAGGAAAGCCTGAAGTGATGCAGGTCTCAGATGTTTACCACTTCGCACAGGTGTGGTGCTGACAAACCTAGAAACATAATCGGGTGAACCGGGATTCAAACCCACAATCATAGGTTTCCAAAGGGACCCAACTCTGCACAGCAAATCTGCAAATCGCAGCACCTCATACTACAACTTGTTATCTAAGATATATCACTGGATCACTCATATTCAAACTTGTTATCTAAGATATATCACTGGATCACTCATACTCTATTTTATTGAAATAGCACTATCAAAAGCATTTCATGCATTAACACAAAAAACATGTGCTTCACATGCCTGACTTAGATATGAACTGTTAGCAGTACAGAAATAAAGTGCTAAAAATTCATATCGCTATTCATATAAACAATCCCTGCACAACCTTGCATATCACTGCATGTAGGAATCACGTGTGTCTGTGTGTCTGTGTGTCTGTGATTCTCCCTGAGTGGCATGCAACTATCATTAGCTGTGGATTCGACCACACAATGACGCTGGCTATGTCGGCATCGTGCAAGTCTTTGTGGGTTGCACCCTATGGCTAATAACCCAACCACTAAGCTGACACCATGATATTAACTGAAGTACTATGGCACTGGGGTTCAACACAACTAACTCCACTGTGATTCTCCCAAAATGCTATAATATTCCACAAAAATAATTCTTTCTGTTTCTATTGAACAAACTAGGCAATAATGGCACTAGATTCCTACGAATCATCTACAAAATGTATTCATTAAAGTTTTACATTAATATCCTCACAAAGCGTTCAAAAACCACTCAAAACTTATGCATCTGATTGGTTGCTACTGACATACCATGAAACAAAAGCAAACTCATACATACAAATAGATGTCAGAAAAATAACTACATTTATATTGTAGTCACCTTGATGTAGACATCAATGGACCTACCAGGCACATGGAATTTAGGCTTGGCCTTTTGAGCTCTGCATGAAATTCAACATTTCATAGGTTTTAAAAGAATTATGTGTTCTAACTACCTGTACCAAAAGCATATCGGGATGCCATCAATTATTTAACCTAAGATGGTGTGATGTACTGGCCCTCCCAAGCCCATGACTCTCCGACCAATGCATTAAAAATGAGACATCATAAAACTTTGTCAAACAGGGTCTTGTCACAAGTTCAAACAAGCTGAAACAAACACGCAGCTCAATCCATCAGATGCCTGACTACATGAAAATGGAGAAAATAAAATACTTACAACCCTCAACCTAATCAAACACTGGTAATTATTTTCATCTTCAGCAATTTTTACATAAACGCCTCATTCAAGCATTCATTTGTCCACCAGAATTATTTTTTTCAGCATTAATTTTTTTCAGCAATGTTAGATAATGACACAAGTAGGGTTAGAACTTAACACTAGCACACTAGCCTGCTAGTCCGGGGCCAGTACAAATTCATGAGGGCCAGTACAAATTTCCCAGTGTCCCTATTGTTTTAACATTACAGGGGGATTATATCTTTACCCAGGCTAGTGAAGCTTCTGAGTTTAGTTCTAACCCTGACAAGCCGAATGTAATGAATGGTGGTGTCGCTGCACACAAAGAACTACAATGAAGTCATGCCATTTGAAATCTGTTGCCGATTTATTACATCTCTGCGTGTGTATATATAGATATATATTGCCACTATTTCTGTATCACAAAATAAACTTGTCAAACAAGCATAATTTGATTCTGCACTTTTAAATAAGGTCTTGCTTACCTGGTTTATTTATGTACAAAACTATCCCTTGAATTATGTCAACGATACGTGTGACATTCAGTTAATGTACAGAACATAAAATATACACATCACAAGTTTCAAATGTGTTTTTTAAATGATAAATACAATATATACAAGCCTTTTCTTTCATAAAACAATTAAAATATATGAACATATAAGTCATACTTAAAACAAAACTTCACAAAAAGGAAAATCGATTCAGGACCTAGACTTGAACCTGGCATAAAATATTTATTCAGTAAACTGAAAGCAAGAAACTGAAACGTCTATATTATAACTTCAAATAATAGTTCAAAATTAGCACACACAAACTAAATGACAGCATTGGAAAAACTTGTAATGACTGATGCCACCTTGTCATTGAATTGAAAGAACATGGAGTTATTGTCAAAACACACGAAATTGAAAAATCAAAAGATTGTTCTTCAGAGTCATATTTCTGCTTCATATCACATATACGGCCTCCGTGGTCTAGTGGTAGAGCGTCCGCCCGGAGAGCGGAAGGTCCGGGGTTTGATCCCCACCCGCGTCATACCAACAGACGTTAAAAGATGGTACTTGTTGTTACCCTGTCTGGCGCTCGGCATTAAAGGGCTAAAACAAGGACTGGTCGGCTCGGAGTCAGTATACTGTGTCTGAGTGGGATATTCATGTTAAACTGCGGCATGGTATCTCAGTGAGCTAGCACTATAAATCGGCATCAGTCCGGACTAGTACAAGCAGCCACACACACACACGTACATGCACGTCGCTATATAAGTGCAATAATCTTGGATGCAACGTTAAACCCCATTTCACCTCACCTCATATCACATATTACATGTTCTCTTTGTACAAGCAATCATTATTATTTACAAGTCATGTATCTATAACATAATGGACATTTTACAAATTGTAGATTTAAACTAAAATCTACCCACAATTTAAACAAACTTTTTCTAAGCACAGGGACAGTAAGGAAGTTTAGAAAATACTATTTCCTCAAACAATTGCATATTTTTACATATATTTTCTGTTCCATAAAACACAAAACTTGTTTTGCTTTTTTTACAGCTTAAACACAAGGAAACATTTAGTTACCCTTTCACATGATAGTAATTTCTATACAATAAAATTAGATATTTACATACATCTTCAATTTGTTTGTACAAACAGATTACAGGCAACATACATATTTTACCTCAGAATTGGGTGTTTTATGAAAGCCTTTGCACATAAAAATCACACAAATGTACAGCAAATATTTTAAATATTCATGAATGTGATTAGGCATTGTGAAAGTGAAGTGAAACCTTGCTAACTGCATTAGCTTGATGTCCCATAAGACAATGTAACTTTCTGTTGGTGACAACATACTTCATTATTTATCCCTGTGTAATCCTGCTCAAGTCTAATATGTCGACAAGCGAGCATTAGCTTGATCTCCGATAAGACAATGTAACTTCCTGTTGTCGACAACATACATGTATGTCGATAAGTCGGATAAGTCACAGGCTGCAACTGTATGATGCTCTTCCTTATACACTTAATTTCAGCCACTTCATGGAACAGTCACAGGGCCACAATGACATAGTTATTAGATATTCATTCAAATCTTATAACATTGCGAAGCCGGAAGTATTTCATGTTTTACTTTCTAGAAACTGCACAAGGCATCTCTATACGTTAACAGTGACTGAAAAGTCACATGAAGCAGCAATGTTGGGTAGGACGATGTGGTGGAGTATTTCATTAAGTACAGAAACAAAACTTCAAACATAGCAATTTTCTCCATATAAAATACTTGCATATGAGGTGTGTGTTTTGTAGTGAGGCATTTGGGGATGAAACTTAATAATTATTTTATACAGGCCTGATCCAGTAAGGTATAGTTACATTACTTGGGGTTGAACATGTCTGAGTAATTAATTTGCATTAATTAATGATCTTATGGCATAATAGACAATTTGGTCCCTCATTATATTCTTACTTTGTTCATTTTCTTGCTTGATACACAAAGTTTGTGTCAAATATTAGCACTACTAGTAAGAAGTCTCTAACTTTGAACAACAAAAAATACTTAAGTTAACAAAGTTTCACTGAATTTCAAATATATCAGATGAAAAAATATATAAGTATATAAAATACTTTACCTATCTCTTTTAATGTTCAACTCATAACCGGACGATAGCCAACTTTCCTCAACCAGCAGAAACTAGATGTCTAGTGTTGGAAGAAGGGCCTATATCCGTGCAATGTTTGTATACTCTGACATACACTAAAGACAACCACAGCACAAAGGAAGCCTGGGACATGAGTCATCCATATGGTAGGGTCATCAGTAACAAAGCAACACATTGTCCAGCTTGGGCCTGAAACCAGGGCCTCCAGAGATATCACTTCTTCTGTATGACTCTATTATTGTGTAGCAACTGTACCAACAAGAGATCTCTTGTACTACATTGTAACAATGAGAGATGTCTTGTACTACATTGTATCAATGAGAGATGTCTTGTACTACATTGTAACAATGAGAGATGTCTTGTACTACATTGTAACAATGAGAGATGTCTTGCACTACATTGTAACAAAGAGATCTCTTGTACCACACTGTAACAATGAGAGATGTCTTGTACCACACTGTAACGAAGAGAGATGTCTTGTACCACACTGTAACGAAGGGAGCTGCCTTGTGACTACTTCCTCTGCTGCAGCCACTTGTTGCAGATGTTCCTGACTGCGCCCTGGTTCAAGCGCTGCGCAGCCCCTGCGATTCGCTGCACGTCTTCCACTCGCTCCCCCTTCACTGCCAGCAGGTATGCCGACCGCAGTTTCCCACAAAGGATAAATGCATTGATCTGAATAATAAGCCAATTTGTATTACTTATTAATGATCACAAAATACTTTCTCCAACAGATTTCAACGGTGTGTTTTTTCAAACTATGAAAACATATTTATTTTTAGGTTATTTACTTGAAATGTGATTTGGTTGGGACAATTCAAGGCAGTCATTAACCCTTTCCAAGGCCTTGTTAAGACAGATCTCAATTCAAGGTCTTTTCAAGCCTGTGAAAACAAATCTGGAGTATTTTGTTCTGTTCAACTGACATTCATTGTAAATAATGGCATATTGATCAAACACAAGTGATGGTGGCCTCATGTTATAAGACAATGATCATACATTCTGCTTATCAGACAGTAGGGACTAATAATGGGGATGCTATTGTGTAAAGGTTAAACAGATTCATCTTCAATTCAGGGAAAACTAGGAATGGGAATAGATATTTAAAAATTAAAGTCTGTACTGCTGCTCTCAAATTCACAATTCTTTCTCTATTCAAGTGAATTTGCAGGGGAAGAATCTTCTCAGAACTAGAGCGAGACACAAACCTTGTTAGAATCCTTGCGCAGGAGTTTGATCAGATTGTCAACTTCTTTAACCTGAGAAAACGTCAACCATGTCAAAAGTGATTCCTTGAAAGGCATTTAGAAGCGATACACATGAGGAAAAGAATTTATGGATGTCAACTTCTTTATTATGAGGAACACAATGTTTACTGATGAAGGAGTAAGTACATACGTTGTGTTCCTCATAATAAAGAACGGAGGTGGGGTGGTAATATTAGTTAAAGCGTTGGCTTGGCACGCCAAAGACCCGTGTTCGATTCCCCACATGGGTACAATGTATGAAGCCCATTTTCGTGTGTCCCCACCAAGATATTGCTGGAATATTGCTAAAAGTGGCGTAAAACCATACTCACTAACTCATAATAAAGAAGTTCACATCCATAAATTCTCTTCCTCATGTCACAAGTGCACTGGGTGTGTTCTGACAATATACACTAATAAAACATTGACAGCATGGTTTCTTTCTAGTGAATCAGAGAACTAATTTTCACTTACCGTATTCGACATAATAAGTGCCCCGCTCTAATAAGCACCCACGGCGATATTTGCTAATATATTGGCTAGTGAACAATCCCAATTAGCACCCCTTCCGATTGATCAATGTACACAACACTTATTTATTCGCGTATAATACGCACTCGTGTGTTATATGCACCCTTAAAGGGGAAGTGTACACGCAAAAATCACTTTCTTTCTTTTTCTAAACAAAACGCAATTTTAGAATTAATTAGTATCTGTGTTTGAAAATATACACTCATTTTTTTCACAGTGAACGTAGGAAGCTCACAATAGTGTGAAAATGATATGCCGTTATGAGGCCTTCGTTTTTCGAGCTAAACAGGCCTGAGTTATCCCCCTTAGATTATGACGTAATTGGTGCCAATTCAACTGGGTCCCTGTCTATTCTCAACGCAAAAGATATCAAGTACCAGTTTGCGGTAAAACAACATGGCCTACGACACACTACGGCGCAGTGGTGACTCAGCATAACACTATGCTGGCTGGCATCTGAGACGCTAGAATCACACACCTGGACATACACCACGTGAAGCGGCTCTAACAAAGCATGATGACGTCATAATGTTTATCAATTGGCACCAATGACGTCATATTGCAAGGGGCATAAGCCATGGTGTTTTTGTTGTGGAAATAGAACACTTGGTAAATGTGAAAAATATAAATCGTTTTAATGCGAAAAATATGTTAATTAATTGTGATATTTTTATATGTTTGTCTATGACACTTCTATGTTAACACTTTTAATGTGGAAAAAGTACAAGAAAAATAGGTTCATTTCCGTGTGAACTTGCCCTTTAACTATGGGCAATTGAATTCTGGAAAAATGTATCTCTCGTATATAAACATTTCAGGCTTTCTGCATAAAGCACAAAATTTATCTTTCAACACTGTTTTTCTTTCCCCGAAATAATATTCTCATAAGAGCCCCCTATTTTTAATTTTGAGAGCGCCCTTGTTGCTTATTATGTCGAATACGGTAGTCTTACTAAGAAGTAGTTAATTTCACTTCGAGATGATTGTCTCAGTCATGTCTATTGTCCCATTGCTTGGTTGTTTGTGAAGCAGCCCTTAGAGTCCAGGGCCCACTTGCACAAAGCAATCTTAGCGCTAAGACTATCTTAAGCCTACGTTAAAGAATGGGAGTTACGATCATCTTGGCGCTAAGATCGCTTTGTGCAAGTGGCCCCTGGTGTCATATTGTTGATGACTACACAGGCATTTCAACATGACTTTGTCAGAACAATTGGCTTACTTAGCCAGTCTCCTAACGTGAGAAATTTTCTTCAGTTTCTTATAAAACAATAATGGGTCATACATAGGATATACACAAGAAAATATGGTAATCAAAATTCAGACTAACACTTTATAGGTCCCCTGTGAATTATTGTTGAAAGTCACCCACGTTTGGGATTTACAAAATTAAATAATTTCAGACGTAATGCATAATTTGTCTAACTAGGAGTGAGTGAGTTGGGTTTAATGCCCCTTTTAACAGTATTCCAGTTATATCGCCGCGTATCAGCTTAATGTGGGAGGAAAGCCCGAAGTGATGCAGGTATCAGACGTTTACCACTTCGGTGAAACCCATGAGCATGGGTATGGTGCTGACAAACCTAGAAACATATTCGTGGCGAACCGGGATTCGAACCCACGATCATAGGTTTCTGGTGTGTCCAAGGGATGCAACTCTGCACAGCGAATCGCGGCACTTTAGACGACTGGGCCGCCCGTGACCCCTGTCTACCTAGGAACTAACTGTGAGGCAAACAGTTCACCTACCTCACTCTCCTTGTCTGCCAGGACAAGTAATGAAGCCCTGATGATCTCGTCAAGCGTGTCATCGTTGCCGATCCCTGACCGCTCCACACAGTCCAGCATGCGTTTGATGAGGGCATAGTGCTTGTGCTTGGCCATCTCACGTGCAGTGTGGGTGAAAATACTGCTTGATGTCAGGCGACATTCCTACACACAAACATGAAATACTGTATTGTCATATTAAGCCCCCTGCTCTACTGCACCTCTTGACCAAACTCTAGACCTGTCTGTAAGTAATCTTCATAAGCACACCCTACTAACAAACAACATTTACATAACAGTCCATAGTTCTTTGTCTGTATTGCAGATTTCTCTCACAAAAAAACAGAAACATAGAAGGAGAATATAACTGCCTTATAACAATAATCAAAAGCATTTTAGTTCCATCAGCGTTCGAACACTACTGCTCTTTCTCTGGAAGCAAATTTAACTTGTTTATGGTCATAATAAGCACCCAGGCAGCTATTACAGCCAATATGTTGTTTTACAATGGTAGACAAAATGCTAAGCAATATGGCGATTTCTTTTATATACATGAGGGTACTAAATTAATACAAAACGCCTCTATATGTACAGGGTTGGTACTGATTTGTCCTCAACAATTTCATGAAGGCCTTTTCAAGACATTTCAAATACAAGGCAAACATCATCCTGGACTGCAATGGCATCTATTTGGTAAACCAAACAATAAGGCAAACCAGGTATGCAAAATAAACTACGGAGTTATAATTTTCTCATTATCATTGCATACAGGTGAGGACATCCATTAGCATGTTTGTATTTCATGTATAAGTAGTAAGAACAATTAATGTGTAGTTAGGGTGTAATTCAAGGTCTTTTCAAGTTTTATTGTCTCTTTCAAGGCCATATCAAGGCAAATGCCAATTTCAGGCCTTTTCAAGACTAACTCGAAAACTTACGGTAAGTGTTTTTAAGCCCTGTGCACACCCTGATGTAAGTGATTGTGCTTTTTCTCATGGCATTCCATATAAACCTTTTTACCAATGATATTTACATATTGATCATATCAATATTTTAACAGTAAATTCATAAACAAATGTCCACCACCATGACCCAGGTTATCTCCCATTAGTTGCACACCTCCATATTCCCATTTGTCACACACCTCCATATTCCCAGTTGTCACACACCTCCATATTCACACTTGTCACACACCTCCATATTCCCATTTGTCACACACCTCCATATTCCCAGTTGTCACACACCTCCATATTCCCACTTGTCAGACACCTCCATATTCCCACTTGTCACACACCTCCATATTCACACTTGTCACACACCTCCATATTCACACTTGTCACACACCTCCATATTCACACTTGTCACACACCTCCATATTCACACTTGTCACACACCTCCATATTCACACTTGTCACACACCTCCATATTCCCACTTGTCACACACCTCCATATTCACACTTGTCACACACCTCCATATTCACACTTGTCACACACCTCCATATTCACACTTGTCACACATCTCCATATTCCCACTTGTCACACACCTCCATATTCCCAGTTGTTATAAACCTCCATATTCCCACTTGTCACACACCTCCATATTCCCAGTTGTCACACACCTCCATATTCACACTTGTCACACACCTCCATATTCACACTTGTCACACACCTCCATATTCACACTTGTCACACACCTCCATATTCACACTTGTCACACACCTCCATATTCACACTTGTCACACACCTCCATATTCACACTTGTCACACACCTCCATATTCACACTTGTCACACACCTCCATATTCACACTTGTCACACACCTCCATATTCCCACTTGTCACACACCTCCATATTCACACTTGTCACACACCTCCATATTCACACTTGTCACACACCTCCATATTCCCACTTGTCACACACCTCCATATTCACACTTGTCACACACCTCCATATTCACACTTGTCACACATCTCCATATTCCCACTTGTCACACACCTCCATATTCCCAGTTGTTATAAACCTCCATATTCCCACTTGTCACACACCTCCATATTCCCAGTTGTCACACACCTCCATATTCCCAGTTGTTACACTGGGAGGAGGCCAGGAGGGGACTAATTAAGACACCACCTACTGAGTAATGGACTAGTCCTAGCTGGAGTACATAGGATTACCACAGAGACCAAGGTATATAACTAGAATGTCAAGACCATGCCCCAGCCCGGGCTAGGTTAAAACAAGAACTGCAGTTAGATCCGCTATCTGTCATAGATCTCCTAAAGTCAAGAGATGCAATAGCGAAGGCCAAACTAACTCTATTTCTGAGAGATGGACAGCTACTCAAAAGTATATAAACAGAGCAGCCAAGGATAAAAATGAAATCATATCAATATAAGAAAATAGAAATCATATCAATACAAAAACAGAAATTATGTGAACACCAAAATCACAATAGATATGTGTACCCTACTCACACACAGGAGTCCCAAAGAGGGACAGGTCAGCCGAAATTGCTTAGGCGACCTCTTAAACACTTAATGCAACAACAACCAAGGTATACATGCTGATTGCCAAGCTGGAGTTTTAGCACAAATGTTATTGTGAAATGTTATGATCTGGTTGAAAGGCATAAGATATCACTCCATTCTAATGCTTAGGTAACATAGGGTAGACCAGTCAGCGCCTCCAGCCATGACCTATGTTGTTTTAAGGAGAGTGACAATTGGGACATGTTACTGATGGGAGGATACCATGACCCAACCAAAGTGAACAAGCTTTAGAGCCTTCTCACCTGAATTATTCTTATTGCCAGGTCAAAGCTGACTGAGATGTCGTTTCCACTCAACAGAATCTGTAACAAACATATGTCATATTACCTTCACTAATCTTAAATAAAAAAACTGAAAATTTGAATTCATGGTTTCGAAAATGAGCTACATGTTTTAGAAGCTTGTGATAAGGAGACAGGTAACATAATTGGAAGAATGACCATCTAACATGCAATTATTAGGCCAATAGCAAACAAGCCTAGTGAGCGAGTATGTGAATTAAGAAATAAAAGAGGGTGGTTTATTGTACAATAAAACACTGCAGGGAGAATAAACCATTAAAGGTGCAGCTTCAAGTGGTTTATTCTCCCTGCAGCATTTTATTGTACAAAAAACAATGACCACAAGTCTTTTATTTCTTATATGAGATATCAACATTATGTACAGCTTCTTTGAGGATGTTAATAAAATGTACAAGCTGTAAAATATTTACCCATATTTTAATTTATCTGCACTGCCTAGCTACAAGTATTGGGAACAACACACTTGACACTCCCCACTCTAAACAGTGTCAAATATACAACGTCATCAAGTTGCAAGTGCATGTTAGAATCTCAAGAAATGACGTCATGATAGAACAAAGTTTTATCGTGAACTAAACCACGCTTTGTTTTTTATTGTTCTTTGCTATTTATCTTGCTTGTAGCCATCTAATATTACTGCATAATGCATTAACAGCAATGATGCAGCTGTTCATTGTGACAATGGGGTCTACGAATAGAGTTACATCTACACAAGTGAGAGTATGCGTGAAGGGTCTGATGCCAATTTTATAAATATTCCAGCCACATCACGGCACGGGGGCATCAGAAATGGGCTTCACACATTGTACCTGTGTGTTTGGCATGATGAGCCAAGGCTACCCCACGAGCCCAGGGTTGTGATAAGTGCTCCCAACTCACCATGCTGACTAGGTCAGCTCTAGCTTTACTGTTACCAAACATTGTTGGTAGATTGCAAGCCTGGGACTCCACTACATAGCTGGCGGCAAGAGCTGTGGATTCTCCCTCCTGGTTGGTCAGGCACTGTTCCAGGAACTTTGTCACCTCAGTTTGAAGTGCGATAGTTCGGATGTGTCTAAAATATAAGAATGTACACTTAATATCTTAGAATATATTTTTTTAGTTTGGCCCAAACATTTGTTAACGCTATGTACCCTGTACATTACTCATCTTAACCTTAAAGTGCAAGTCTCATGGGTATATACAACTTTGCAGATGTGGATGGACTGTAACATCATTAATGCAAATATTGTTTTCAAAACAACGAAAGCGGCATGTAAATAATCTTATTTGCACTATATAATATTACTTGTCCCGTCTTTCAATTTCAAAGGCTGAAATGAAAATACATCGGAGGCAGGCCTTTATAGACAGACGCTTCATATATAGTCTTGTTTGAGGGAATTACCTCAAAACTTACAGGCTTGATCACACAAGCCACCCAAAAATGACACGCTTGATTGCACAAGTCCACCCCTCCGTTCACACCTTTGCAAGGCAAGCATCCGTTCACAGTTATGGTCGGCTGCACACGTTTTTGGCAAAGGTAACCTATTCCTCGCCCTTTTTAACCCTTAGACATTCTCCTTTCCACAATTAGCAGTGACAATTTGAACACTTACTTTCATCCGTATGAGTGAAAGGATTAAAATGTAAACCTTTTCCTTCCTTTCAACAATGAACATGTGAAAAAGGCCATTTACTATTCAGTGAGAAAATGATGTGCAAATACATGTATACTATTTCCTCAATACTCATCAAGACTCTTCTTTGTTTCAAATATTGGCTGATTTGTCTATAAAATGATGAAGAAAGGTACTTTTCGCAATATTGTGAGCTAAAATCGATCATAACGTCTTTATGACGGCACAGCATAATTGTTTCCTAGCACCCATAAGGTCCCTTTTCTCCTGGTGGGTCACATATGTAAGAGCACATAACCCTTGCAACTCACTTGGTGACCTCATCAGGGGTGAGGACAAGCCTGACAGCCGATTCAGTCGAGTGTCCACTCCAATCTGGTCCCTTCCTGATCGACGGGCTGCTGTTTGGGTGGCGGACACTGTCCCACTTGGAAGGGTCCAGGAACGCCTGCATGTGCTGCTGGGCCATGAACAGGAACTGTAGACGGCCAGCAAGGTCAACATAACTCTGAGCCCTACGTTGGTAGAAGTGGGTGATGCAGGTCATGGCGGCTCGTATGTAATCCTGGTCAGAAAACAAACATCAAATTATAATGCATTCGACTGAGAGATTGATGAAGTCTCATAACAGACAGTGTCCATGACATGTCAACCTCATTTACTTAGTGTATTGTATCACCGTTCTATCAAACACCCTGGAGAAATTCAATACACATCTTCCTGAGGCAAGGGAGTTAACTGACTTTAAAAGTCCAGTTTCCACCCTTGCCGAACTTGGCTGGAATTATGGAGTTATATTTTGGCAGGACTATCGAGTCTATGTATAGTCCAATCAAAACTCCGTAACGAAATCGACATCCGGTTCATAAATAACATGGCAACTGCCGTGCTGAAGTCGTTTGACTGCAGGATTTGCAGAGCATGTGTACTGTCAACTGGGTGTTGACAGATATTTTCCCAATCTTTTCATGTTTCTAATAAAGGTGATTTGATGCACTTCGTGAGGCAAAACCCCTTTTAATATCCAATAAAGATCTTAATTATAATGACATCGTCTTGACTGGATACCACCATTTTGTTTGAAGCAATGCAAGTGATATGAGAGATGGAATTTGATTGGTCAGTATGGGGGACATAGAAGGGACATAATGCATAATAGCAACCGGTGGCTCTAAGATCAAGATTAGAAATTCCAGCATATTTCAGCAAGGGTGGAAAACTTGACTTTAAGTCAGTTAACTCCCTTGCTTCAGGCTTCAGGCTGAATCAAATGGCATGACTCTGTGAAGACATCAATCAGATTATAATTAGAAATTCTGTACAAGCAGGAGACACAGAGATGCTGACATCACTTTTAAGGGGAAACTATGAAGATGGAAGGGTCCAGGGTATTTATTATAAAAGAATGGAGATAAAATATCCTGGATAAGGGAGGATGGTGAAATTTATGAAGGAACTACACAAACCTGAAAGTCATCGACGTTAAACAAAAAATAAACTCCAAAGATAGACAAGAAGCATCTGAACTTTCAACTTGATGAGGAAAGGAAGTTGCTTAGTTCTGTCATTTTATTTCATTTGGGAGCGCAGTCAAACATTGCCTCATATATTTAGAAGTGACGTTAACAATGAGCCTACTCAATGATTGTCCACAGCATCATGAAAAGGACATGTCCATTGTTGTGATAAGTTGAAGAATATACGATGCGGATTTACTGCACATAAAACTCGATAAACCTTTTTCTACACTATAAATCATAAACAACTACAATTCTAGGCTCTGAAACGTGGGGCGTATATCCTGTTAGGTAGGCAGAGCATGTACTGTTGTGTTGGTCATCTACCCCCTACGACACCACCTAGGTTAAACCGCTGATCGTCTATAACGCTCATCAATTATTTGGACCCCCAAGGCAGCTAGGGATCGATCACTGTAGATTGTGTCACCTTCATGAAGAGCTGGACTTGATGGAGGGCATTGACGAGCTTGTGCTTCAGGAGATATTTGCAGGTGGCAGTGAGGTAAGGATTCCACTTCTCCAGGCTAGCATCCAGCATCAACATCTGGTCCAGCAACTTGCCCAGCTCCCCGGATGTCAAGGCCGAAGTCAGCAGGGCCTCGACAAACACCTCGCTGGAGCATCTCTGCACAAATATACAGCCAATATTGAATTAAAGAAAGAGACCAATTTTATCTATTATTTTCTTAGTGTTTGATAAATACATTCTAATGGATTTGTCAAACAGTAGATCATATCCAAACAAGAATTCATGGGAATTATTATTCATCAGCATTTCAAAGATCATGATAGATTTTAGAAAAGTCATTATAGTATAGGAGTTTGTTATCGCCAACATTTATCATAATCAATACTTTTGAACCATAGGTCTTTACAAAGACAAATTTACAAACAGTGCTGACAACATACAAAATATCTTAATGAAACTTACATAACCAGGTTAAGAAAATGTTTTTAAACTGAGCTGCCTTCATCCAGTAGCCATGGTGACGGAGGAATGTCAGATGTTCAAGGAATATGTCAGGATAACTACCAGTAGTCACTTACACACTGACTCTACTCACATATTTGAGGACAAACTGAGCTGCCTTCATCCAGTAGCCATTGCGACGGAGGAAAGTCAGATGTTGAACGAATGTGCCAGGATAACTACAGTCACTCACACACTGACTCTACTCACATATTTGAGGACAAACTGAGCTGCCTTCATCCAGTAACCATTGCGGCGGAGGAAAGTCAGATGTTCCAGGAAGGTGCCATAGGTGCGGAGGTAGAAGAGACACTCCTGGAACTGTGTTGTCTCAATGCTTCCTTCCTCGCTGTGACTCTGTGACCAGACATGACGAGCACATGGAATAAACATCATCTTGTATGTATATATCGGAGAATTCATCATGTTACTTTCATATTGAGGGGTAATTTTAACATCTTGTATTTGTGTTGGTGAACATGTGCCATCTTGCAAGTTCACTGGGGAACGCATAATCTTGGCATACAGTGGGGAATATATATCATCCTTTAATTATATTTGGGGACATATTATGTATGAATAACCTTTGGGAATAGATTTTACATTTAAATCTGCAAAAACATGACTTCTATGACACAACCACCTCATTCACTAATGATTATGTAAAAAGATTGCAATCATTTTCTCATACAAGAAGGCAGTCACAGAGGTAATGAACCCTCTGATAAGAAGAAATGCTGTCAATATGTGAGACAAAAGAATAGTCCAATCCTTAAATCAATCAATTTACACACAATAATGAGTGCATTTTTAAAGTATTTCATCTTCATATTCTACTCAAAAAAAGTTAAGGATCACCCGATTCTTTCATATTGGTAATGTTAATCTGTCATGGCATGAGAGATTAACCATTGTAATATGGAAGAATCAGGTGAGCCTTAACTTCTTTTGTGTAGTATATCATTCTTACTTACATTAAAAACAGTATCTTGAAATATACATTCTTTAAATGAACACAAAAATTGTTAATTTTTTATCATGATTATGCAAACAAAATTTTTGTTTGTTGAAGGTGCTATTCAGCATGAACAAATTATTTATCAGGCAAATGCTCAACAATGGAAGTTAAACAATAATGACCTGTTATTAGTAAAGCAAGGATTAAAGCATGGCAGATATTGAGGCGAGGATCCACACTAACATGCACGTGGCATGAACGGTAAGACTCACAGCTGATGGCAGGTTGATGAGACTCTTCATGGAAGCAGGACTGGACAAAAGCATCTGGATCTGATGAAAGACTCACACTACTCAGAAACTACAGACACATCTCGGTCATACTTCTCCTCATGATGGTTGGAGGGAAGAGGACCATGAAGTTAAACGCTTGGTTTTGACCTTTGTTTTCTGCCCCTTTGTTGTGTACTTTTCTAACCCATTCAAAATAAACAGTCGGTCGAATAGAGATAAATTTGAATTATCACAAGTATCATCATTTGGGTTGGAAAGCTCTCATGCAAAATGTGCATATATTTCTCACGAGAGCCACTGAGAGTTTTCAACTATTGACATATAGACTATAGAAATGCACCATGTTGAAATAAATTTTGTTCAATTTGTTCCAAGTTGAGTGACAAAATGGCCTAGATTGCCTGGACTAAGAAGAAGAAATTACTGACACTTACACAACCACGTTATACTTTATCATCATATAACAATCACAATGAGCTGTAATACTAGTAGCATACATGCCACTTTTAACATGCATACTGACTGAATATCAGTACAAGACATCAAAATATCATCCGAAAACTAATGCCTTCAAATCATGATAAGGACCAATCTGATTTAGATATTTTCAACAAACTACACTACAGTTGCATCAAAACCACACTTAAACATTCTGCCTGTAAAACATCATGAGGGGAAAGACGGTGTCATATGGCTAAAGAAAGTCCCATGTTTCCCAACAATGAGGCGCACCAACCTTCCACACACTTATATGGGTATTAGCTGCCATGCTGTAACTAGAATATTGCCAATCTCATTCAAATCAGATCTTAGTTCTCGCTATCGCTAAACAAAGATCTGAGGACATCCCATTACGGGTAAAGTCAGACCGAACTTGCGTGAACTTTGACCGACCAATGGAATGACCAATCAGAAGTCAGCTTTCTCGTGCTTTACGGCACTATGTTCAAATTGGCGACAACGCTTCGAAACATATTTTGACAAATTCTCGATTAAAAACATCCTTGAATCGCTAATAGATGGTCTAGATTGTATGGATTCAGTTGTTAAACCCGTAACTATTGTTTGGAACACCCTGTGTTAAAGGTTTCGAGGATGCATGATTAGAAATCACATTCCAACTGTCCTTTCATGATATGGTAAGCTACGTTCTGATTGGTCGAATGAAAGGTCGTTCTGACGTGACCTCTAGTGGGATGTCCTCAGATCTTTGTTTAGCAGTAGCGAGAACTAAGGTCTGATTTTAATGAGATTGAGAATATTGCTGACTGCGATGTCAAACAACATTCTGTCACTATAGAGGCACTGGTTCACCATCCAGCAGCATATCAATCATGCAAAGTCAGCCAGAAACTAAAATGCTCAACAAAAACCATCATGCAGCCAGCTTAAATAACATCTTTCAAGTTCAGTGCCACCAGAAGAACCCCCTTTCCACCAAATGTTTAAACTAAAGGCAATCATCAATTAACTGTTTGTTTGTTTGTTTGTTTGTTTGTTGTTTAACGCCACACTCAGCAATATTCCAGCTATATGATGTCGGTCAGTAAATAATCGAGTCTGGACCAGACAATCCAGTGATTGACATCATGATCATCGATCCACATAATTGGGATACTATGACATGCATCAACCAAGTAAGCAAGACTGACCACCCGATCCCGTTACTCATCTCCTATGACAAGCATAGTCGCCTTTTACGGCAAGCATTGGTTGTTGAAGACCTATTCTAATCCGGATCTTCACGGGTCATTTGATTGGCATTCTGACAGTTGGTGAGTAAGTAAGAAAATGTACAACTTTACGGACAACAACTTCTGGTTTATTGCATAAAGCGACATTTTGATGTAGATCAAACTTATTAACTGTGTAAGAATTTACATTGAAGCGTCGCTATATGCAACAAATCCATAATGTTGTACGTTTTCTTAGTTAATCATAAATTAACCATGGAGGCTTTCACTGGAATTATTAATAGTGACAAGCAATTATAAAATGACAATATGTATTGCAAGTACATGCCATGCATTTAGAAAAATAATTGTCAATTATTAATAACAGTTATAAATAAATAAAAGATAATCCAAGCCAAGTGCAGTAGGTATTAGGAACAATTAAACCATCTCCAAGGATACATTCTAGATGATGCTGTGTTATGAAGGTTGCTTCAGTATAATGTGACCTACCTCTGTGGTACCAGTGATGGGCATTGATTCCAAGTAGTCAACTATCTCCATCAGCAGACGTGATGAAGTGGTCAGCTGATTCTTGTCATTTGGACACTGTTGGAAAAAACAGATAACTTTCAATGATGGAGTGCCCAGGAAATGTCTTCATGCATTACATATGATTAAAATACTATTGAAGACGAAATAATATTAGAAATATTTCAAAACGTTACCTCTGTACAGTGATAGATATTATTTTATTAATACACTGCTTTGCAAAAATATGTCATTCTCAACAAATTGCTCAAACTATGTTTGAGATACATTGGCAATGCGCTCTTTGTATATGTGAGTTAAAAGTTAACGTCACACCAGCACTATCTCAGCCATGTAGTGAAGAGCTACATTAAATATGCCTCTGCCTCAAAAGACTGTTATATTATACTCTATATGTGGTCCCTTGGCCTTATACTATGATTGATTGATTGATTGATTGATTGATTGATTGATTGATTGATTGATTGATTGATTGATTGATTGATTGATTGATTGATTGATTGATTGATTGATTGATTGATTGATTGATTGATTGATTGATTGATTGATTGATTAATCCATTGATTAATCCATTGATTGATTGATGCCTTTATTACACCCATCTACAAAGTTTATTTGTTTGTTTCTTTGTAGTTTAACACCACACTATTCCGCAATATTCCAGCCATATGATGGCGGTCTAAAAATAATCGAGTATGGACCAGACGATCCAGTAATTGACATCACAAGCATCAATTGGATTACATGACATGCATTACCAAGTCAGCGAGCCTGACCACCCGATCTCGTTGGTCTCCTCTTACGACATGCATAATCGCCTTATTTTCAAAGTAATGTTACCTTGAGTGTGTGGGAGAACTTCTCCTTGGCCCCAGCATAGTCCCCTGTGTGCAGACGGGCCAAGCCCCACGCAGCCCACACCCCGCCCGTGTCCAGCCCACACTTGGTGGACACCTCCATAGCCAGACGCAGACGCTCATCTTCTATAAGCTTGTCACGCAGACGTCTAAAAACATCAAAGATGGATGTCACAACAGACTAAAAAGAAGTGAGCTCTGAAGCGACTGTTAAATACCAACCGTACTGTCCCCCAAAAACTGTTTGATGTCATTTTATCATCCATGTTTTTTTCAGGTGATTTCAATATCCTCAGACATTAGGTGCATGTCAACCTGTGCATTATAAATAAACAGAAACAACACAGCCAGTATTCACACGATGAAGATGCTCAACATTCAACACTTATTATTGTCTATGTATCCATGAAACTGTACAGTCCTTCTCTGTCTTTAGTTCCCATTATCGTGATTATACATCTCTTTGTATCCAGTGTTCCCTCCCTATTGTGCCCTTCAATATACCGCTAACTCAGTTATAGCGCGCAGTAACGTATGGTTCCCAAAATTTACTTACATTTTAATAAACTCAAGTTTTGCACTGACACAATATTTTTTTCCCCATCGCATGTTTTTATACTTCTCGACAACATGTTCAATATGATATTGTTGATTTACCACTGTCTACACTTAAATTTGCAAGTCCTCCAATGGATAATAGTTCATGTAGTTTTAATCTTTTAAACATCTGGATTTTCCTTCATTTTTGAGGCTTAACAAACAATAACTAAACTACATAACAGCGTGTTCACAAGTTGTCCTTCAAATCAATGCTATTGTCTTTCCAATTCAATTAATATTTATGGAGGGTGCAGCAATTCAAATAATGTCCCTTAGGACATACATAGCATACAAAGTGGTGCAAACTACAACTAACTCTTGATTTTCAAAAGAGGCTTGTTTGAGGTAAGCACTCATCAAATAAACATTTTCCAAATCAGATTGTCTTCAGCATATAATGTTCTACAGTCTTCAAAAAAATGTTTACACTGACCTGACAGTGTCGACCTTGGTGAGTTCCTTGATAGATGGCAGATCTTTATAGTTGTCCCCAACTAGTATCTTGAGCAGGTCGACCCGTGTCTGGTACATGTCACACAAGCCCACGCCCTGGTTCTCTCCACAGTGGAGGAACTTCAGTTTGGCTTGGAACAGCAGCTGCCGCATCATGCTGAGAGAAGAGTGAGTGAGTGAGTGAGTGAGTGAGTGAGTGTGGTTCAACATATCTTATAGCAATATAGAAATGGGTGTATCCATAAGACCCATGTAGGGAATCGAACTCAGGCTTTCGGTGTGGCGTGCGAACGCTTTAACCACCAGGCTACCCTACAGCCCTGCTGAGGGGAGAGCATCCATCAGGGTTGACATGTCTAACTTGATGTGTTTATTTATATGCAAAGCTGCAGATAAGCTATGTATTCGCGTAAAATATGTAAAATAAACCCCTATTACCCAATTAACTGAAAGTATTTTGCAAACAAATACACATGAAAAATTTGAAAAAAACAATAGTATAACAATGCTCTGTGTAATTACCCAATGTAGCCTTTTCAACTTGTGTACCTGTATTCCTCTACAGATCTTAATTACCTGACGGAATGCAGGCATCACACATACCTGAACTCAACAAACAGGGAGGTATGTCTCACATATTGTTAACCAGACAGTTATATCACTGTCGTGAGTTCATGCAGCATGTTACACACTGGGGGCATCACACATACCTGAACTCAACAAACAGGGAGGTATGTCTCACATATTGTTAACCAGACAGTTATATCACTGTCGTGAGATCATGCGGCATGTTACACACTGGGGGCATCACACATACCTGAACTCAACAAACAGGGAGGTATGTCTCACATATTGTTAACTAGACAGTTATATCACTGTCGTGAGTTCATGCAGCATGTTACACACTGGGGGCATCACACAAACAGATACAAAGTAGAAGACACCTGATGCATTAAAGCAGAATCATTAAAAAATGTCCACTCACTGCTATGAAAATACACAGACTGGACCCAAGGGAGTAAAAATATATGGAACAACCAAGATTTGTTTGTTTGACTGTTTGTTGTTTAACCCCACACTCAGCAACATTCCAGCCATATGATGGCACTCTTAAATAATCTGTCTGAACCAGATAATCCAGTGACTGACATCATTAGCATCAATCTAAGCAACTGGGACACGATGACATGCATCAACCGAGTCAGCGAGCCTGACTAGTTGCCTCTTACAGTAAGCATGGGTTGCTGAAGACCTATTCTAACCTGGATCTTCACGATGACATGCATCAACCGAGTCAGCGAGCCTGACTACCCAATCCCGTTAGTTGCATCTAACGACAAGCATAGTTGCCTCTTACAGTAAGCATGGGTTGCTGAAGACCTATTCTAACCTGGATCTTCACGATGACATGCATCAACCAAGTCAGCGAGCCTGACTACCCAATACCGTTAGTTGCATCTAACGACAAGCATAGTTGCCTCTTACAGTAAGCATGGGTTGCTGAAGACCTATTCTAACCTGGATCTTCACGATGACATGCATCAACCAAGTCAGCGAGCCTGACCACCCAATCCTGTTAGTTGCATCTTACGACAAGCATAGTTGCCTCTTGCGGCAAGCATTGCTTGCTGAAGACCTATTCTAACCTGGATCTTCACGATGACATGCATCAACCAAGTCAGTGAGCCTGACCACCCAATCCTGTTAGTTGCATCTTACGACAAGCATAGTTGCCTCTTACGGCAAGCATGGGTTGCTGAAGACCTATTCTAACCTGGATCTTCACGATGACGTGCATCAACCGAGTCAGCGAGCCTGACCACCCAATCCTGTTAGTTGCATCTTACGACAAGCATAGTTGCCTCTTACGGCAAGCATTGCTTGCTGAAGACCTATTCTAACCTGGATCTTCATGATGACATGCATCAACCAAGTCAGTGAGCCTGACCACCCAATCCTGTTAGTTGCATCTTACGACAAGCATAGTTGCCTCTTACAGTAAGCATGGGTTGCTGAAGACCTATTCTAACCTGGATCTTCACGATGACATGCATCAACCGAGTCAGCAAGCCTGACTACCCAATACCGTTAGTTGCATCTAACGACAAGCATAGTTGCCTCTTACGGTAAGCATGGGTTGCTGAAGACCTATTCTAACCTGGATCTTCACGATGACATGCATCAACCAAGTCAGCGAGCCTGACCACCCAATCCTGTTAGTTGCATCTTACGACAAGCATAGTTGCCTCTTACGGTAAGCATGGGTTGCTGAAGACCTATTCTAACCTGGATCTTCACGATGACATGCATCAACCGAGTCAGTGAGCCTGACCACCCAATCCTGTTAGTTGCATCTTACGACAAGCATAGTTGCCTCTTACGGCAAGCATGGGTTGCTGAAGACCTATTCTAACCTGGATCTTCACGATGACATGCATCAACCGAAGCAGAGCCTGACCACCCAATCCCGTTAGCTGCATCTTACAACAAGCATAGTTGCCTCTTACGGCAAGCAGGGTTGCTGAAGACCTATTCTAACCTGGATCTTCACGATGACATGCATCAACCAAGTCAGTGAGCCTGACCACCCAATCCTGTTAGTTGCATCTTACGACAAGCATAGTTGCCTCTTACAGCAAGCATTGGTTGCTGAAGACCTATTCTAACCTGGATCTTCACGATGACGTGCATCAACCGAGTCAGCAAGTCTGACCACCCAATCCCGTTAGCTGCATCTTACGACAAGCATAGTTGCCTCTTACGGCAAGCAGGGGTTGCTGAAGACCTATTCTAACCCGGATGTTCTCGGGTCCAAAGACAAATGTGAAATAGATATGACATTACTTTGGTGTAAAACATTTGTTAACTCATAACAACTATACCTGATGATAAGGCTGTAATCTACTTCAGGGTTGGGGACGCCGGGAGATATGGGCTGCAGGAACTCCGACAGATAGTCACACATATTCAGCATTTGCTGCCCACACTCTTTCTGATGGCTATGGTTACCCAGGATGGAGATGCAGAGCGAGACACTCGGCGCCTTAAAAACAGAAATGGATACTATAGGTGATATAGCTTATATATCCATATAGTTTTAGTTGTTGAAAAATATTTGGAGTCGGAGATTGGGGCATTTTTATATAGATATGGATGTACTATGGCAGCCAAGTTTAGAAGTTCACAACCTGAAAACCATCATATTTTTCAGAAAATACCCATATCAAAATCAAACTTTGCACTGCACCTCTTCTATTAGTATGGAAACTGTTCTCTAAATTGAAAAGAATCCATGCAGTAGTTTTCAAGTTATAGGTCGCAAAAATGTTTCAGAAAAGAAATCTAAGAAAAAATCTGAAACAAATCTTTATCTTTTTAGAAAATCCAAATACTGAAACCAAACTTCGCACTGCACTTCTCCTTAAGGCATAAAAAGTGTTCAAGTTTGAAAAGAATCTATGCAGTAGTTTTCAAGTTTTAGGTCGAGGGTATAATAAAAGTACCGGGTACATCTTTTATCAAACAGCAGTTTAGCAACACATAAGGTATGACATACCTGTTCATAATAGAACTCTTCTCTGAGTTCATGGTCATACGTTTCATCATTACGCAGCATCCAGCTGTCAGCTGCCACTAAGTCTGACTGCCGGCCCCCGCAAGGGAAGGTAACTCCTCCACTGCTAGAGCCATACAGTGAGCCCCCCGGACCCATCACACTCTCTCTGCGCTGACTGTAGAACTCTCCCTGGCTCTTGGAATCACTGGGCCAAACAGAAAATACACTCTAGTCTACATTTGTGAATTTCAAGGGAGGATGACCAGAAGTGTCTGAAGTTTCTGATATTTGCATACTGCATATCGCTGTGTATAAAGTGACTTTTTCATACCTAGAATTTTTGTAAAAAAAAATTGGGGGGGGGGGCGCCTTATTCATAGGGTTGAAGAGTTTTGATTTTCTTTTTCTTAAATTAGCACTGATTTTGAAGGCTTTTACAGGGTGGTCACCTAATAGGCTGGCTCCCTTTATAGACTGCGATATACGAGATGTGCAAGTGATTCCCATACCAGATGGTCAGTTGAAAAATGTCTTTTGTTCTCTTAAGACCAGAGGCAATATTCCCTAAGATATGGTCAGTGAGTGAGTGAGTGAGTTGGGTTTAATACCGCTTTTTAACATTATTCCAGTTGTATCATGGCATGTCAGCTCAATGTGGGAGGAAAGCCCGTGTACCTCTTCAGTGAAACCCACGAGCACGGGTATGGTGCTGACAAACCTAGAAACATAATTGGGGCAAACTGGGATTCGAACCCACAAGAATAGGTTACTGGTGTACCCAAGGGAAGCAATTCTGCACAGCCAGTCTTGGCGCCTTAGACGACTGGGCCACCTGTTCCCCCTCACCTCGACAGAGTTGATCATATCGGATGTTATCAACCACTGTTTTATCAACCAATACTTGATTATCCAAGAAAATTGTGTTTGTTTGTTTGTTGTTTAACGCAGCACACAGCAAAAATCTGCCTATATCACTGAGGTCTGTAAATAATCAAGTCAGTGATTGACATGATGAGCATCAATTTCCATCGATGAAAATGGTACGCCAAACGTTTTGACAGTTTCAGCATGGTTGACAGGTTTGCTGGTCCCCAGAACAGACAATGTTATAATTCATTTCTAAAACATTGAAATTTGATAGGTGCGTATTATAATGTTAATGTTTGTGTCATGCAAATATAGATTCCTAATGGTTTTTGGCTCTGTATGAATGAAATTGTCAGACTATTCTAACAACATAATTTATACTTTTACATGGAATAAGTGTAGAAAATATTAGTTAACTTGATCTTTGATAAATTAACATAATCTACACAGTCTTATACAGAAATGAATTCTGGAGACTGGAGAAGAAGTATGCTGGAAACATGAGCAGTTATTAAATTAAATATAATGTATAGAAAACCTCTTGTGTTTGGACGGTCGGGTAGTCGAGTGGTTAAAGCATTCGCTCTTCACACCGACAACCCGGGTTTGATTCCCGACATGTGTACCGTATATCGCTGTGTATAAGGCGAGTTTTTCGTACCTAAAATGAGGGGGTTAAGAAGGGGGGTCGTCTTATACACGGAGTCGAAGATCTCACATTCTTTTCCACTGGCGATGTCAACCGGCGTCCGATAGCCAGCCCAGCATTTGACAATAAAACTTCGCATTTCGTCCTAAATAACTGTTCCAATAACTATTTCCATACATAAACATGATTTGTATCTCTTTTCCTTGAATAAAGTTTAATAATTTCTGCAAATAAAGTTGAAATGACCCTCGCCTCGATGCAGATTGTCAAACCACCTGACACGGTAAAACAATCAACATCCGTGTGTAGAGACCCGGAAGTACCGGTAAGCATTTGCATATTGCACATGTGACCTAACATGTGATAACCGGTGAAGCTGAAATCAATTCCCGCTGTTTTTCCAGGTCGCCTTATACACAGAGTATAGGATTTTGGGTTGATTTTGAAGGCGTGTACAGGGGGGTCGTCTTATACGTGGGGTCGCCTTATACACAGCGATATACGGTACATGTGAAGCCCATTTCTGGTGTCCCCCGCCGTGATATTGCTGGAATATTGCTAAAAGCGGCATAAAACCATACTCACTAACTAACACTAACTAACCTCTTGTGTTATTGTTGTTATCATTGTTGAAAAGCCAAAGATATGAATAAGTTTTCACCTGTAACCAAATCTCTGCTTGTAGCATTCATCACAAGTCCTGGAAGATTCACCATCAATGATTGTACGCTTGGTGGAGCAAGTAGCACAGACCACCCGGCCACATCGACGACAGTGGTGGCGTCGGTTAAACTGATGGAAAAAAATGTAGGAGAGAGTAAATATTGTCATCACTCTCCCATCATCCTAGGCTCCCAAAGACAAAGGACTATCTTAAATACTATAAATCTTGAAATTAACGAGAGCGTGAATTAAATGCGAAAAATGCAAGTGGTCTTTGCTCGTATTATTATAAATTAACTTCGCATTAATGTCTCTAAAATGACTATCAACAATAAGACGGCCTCACTGCACACTTTGGATAGCAGAAATACCAACTTGAATATTAACACACACTGGTGCACTGCTGGGGTCAAGAGTTTTACCCACTCGTGTCAAGCTTGTTGACACCTTCTACGCATACCAATCAGTGAACCGTTTTTGGTTCATTTATTTTATTGCCTTTGAACTTCCGTAATGCCAGTCAACAGAGTAAACATGAGCATTTCTGATTAAATGCAATGTTTTTATACTTACCTGACACTACACAGTGCTAAAGCAGAACACTGTGTAGCGTCAGGTAAGGTAAAACATATAAACTGCGTGTTGTTTTTAGGAAAACACTGTTTATTTTATTGATATTGAGTCGCATTTTTGGCTAGGGGTCAGCAGTCGTATTAATTTGGAGACCCATTAACTTCCAGATTTACAGTATATCATCAAAAGTATATCAACAATAACAGCTGTTGTACATAAACTTCCAAATGGAATGAGTGATTGGGTTTAATCAGTGTTTCATTCACTTTACTACATGTCGGTTTAATGTGAGGGAAAATTAGCTGAAGGTGATGCAGGTTGTAAACATTTACCACTTTTGTGCTTTTGTATCAGCAGATAATGGCATGGCCATGACACAAGGGATGCAACTCTGTGACATGCAAACCTTGGATCACTGGGCCAGCCGTTCTCCCAGGTACCAACTAACACTGACATTACTTGATTAAGGGAAAAAATGAACTTCAGGACTACTTCTTGCTACTTCAACAGGTCAATGAATCAAACAAGGCTTCTTCACAAGAAAGTCCATCAGCGCCTTGCACTAGTACACAACTATCCAACCCATTGATTTGAGCTCAGCGCCTCACCAAGACCTGGATAATACTCAATGGGACATACGTACCATACTGAATCGCTCATTGCACACCATACAATTGGATGCTGCTGAGTCTGGCACCCAGTCTTCTTTGGCTGGAGGATGAGCAGGCATCACAAACTTGCTGGGTGCTGCTGGGTGGGGCAATGCCGACCGTTTGCTGGGGCTTGTTGCTATAGGGGATTGTCCTCGTGGCTTCGGTGACACTGAAAACAGAGCAAAAAAGACATGGAAGGTGAAATGGTTGTTTCAGTTTTAGAGATGTATACACATTGCCTAAGTAATAATCATTCAAACATGTAAAGTGACCTTTGTACTCTCTACATATTCTACTGCACACTCATGCCTCCCGACTGACACGGATGGACTCTCACTCACTCACACATCAGATTAACGTACCTGCCCCCTCAATACCCCTTCTCCTGACACGGATGGACTCTCCCAGGAATCTCTGGCCTGGGGTCAGGGAGGCATCAGTCTCATCCGTCCTGCCAGAACTACCAGATCCTGCACTTTGACTTCTTTCCTTGTCTGTAAGAACACAAACACACACCAACTACAAGTCACTGTTCAAAGCGTATGGATCCAAATACTCTATTGTAAACATGGCGGGCTGTCACATATTTTACAGGGTTGCTACCATGAAATATTCAGGACTTGATGCCGGCAAGTGCAGTGCCAGGACATACATCTAGGGCCCCGTTCCACTAAGCAGTTGTACGACTGTCGTAAGTCTATGTTAAAGTATAGGAGTTACGATCAATTTAGCCCTACAATCACTTTGTGGAACCCTGGCTTCTATTACTCTGAAAATGTCAACAGTAACTGTTTGACTGGCAATCTTTAGGGATGTAGAATTAAAACGTAGCTAAATGCAATATTCCAGAAGTTGTTGTATGTTTTCTTGTCAACAGTTGGGTTTAATCAAACTTTGCCATCAGTCCTTTTAACACTGAGGTATCTACAGGACATAGCATTTTTCAAATTCTTTTTGCATTAATAACAAAACAACATTGCTGTGCTGAAACAGTCCACTCATACCTGACTCCACACACTGGACTACCATGACCTCCACAGCCTTCGTGGCATACGTCTCCAGCAAGTGGTTGAACTGGTCCACACTGTAGCGAAGAGAGGCAGTCTTCACAAGGAAGTAATCATGTTTTATCTTCTGAAAGACTTTTCCTGCCAGGTCCGACTGAAACAGTAATGTGAACATTCACTTAAAATAATTTTCTATACAAATCAGACATATTTAAAACATTTCAACATTTTCAGTTATTTCCACTATTAATTTCTTTTCGTGGTATACGTTATGATTTTGCAGTCAGTGAGCATATTGGTCTTCATTCCGCTTTGAACACTGTTCCAGCTATATCATGTGGAAGGCTCAACATCACTCTGCTTGAAACCCACGAACATGATATGGTGCTGACAGACCAGGGAGCATAAGTGGGGGCAATTTTGGATTCAAACCCGCAACCAGTGCATCCTGGCACAGCTGGGGGACACAACTCTTCATAAATAAATGTATTGCCTTAAATCACTGTATATTGAGTTAGGACTGCCACAGATAGTGGAAGGTTTGTGGTAAATCCCTTGGTCGTGTCATGCCAAAACATGTTAAAAGATGGTACTGGTACTTGTTACCCTACCCGGCAAGTCAGTATAATGTGTGTGTCTGAGTGTCTGAGTGGGGTATCCATTAGGACTACATTGTGTTACCGGGATACCAGTATACTGCAATATGCTTTTCAAAAGAAGTCTTGCAATATTTTTTTTCTGTTCCCGAATATTGGGTAATAAAAATATGACAAGTTTTGTAATTATTTGTATCGCTTAACCTAAAATCTTCTCAAACGTTAATTTTCAAATGATGTGTCCCTTCGTAACTGATTGTCAAAATGGCGGAAATGCGAAAGTAATTTTTCTCTCACATTATTACCTCCAAGTATCCATGAATACACAATGGGGGCGACCGACCATGCTGACTCTGACAATAGGATCTCTAAGTACTGGTACCTGCTTCCTAAAATATTGCAACATAGTGTTTTTTGCTCGTACACAGCCCTAGTATCCATGTTAAACTGTGGCACTGTATTTCAGTGGGCTCGCACTATAAAACTGGCATGCACCTGGACTCGTACAAGCAGCCACAAATACATTTCGCTATATAAGTGAAGTTATCTTGAACCCCATTTCACCCAACCCCTCACTTGTATACCTACTTTCATGTTCATGAGGAGCTGCTCCAGGATCAGGTGAGGTGTTGAGATCAGGTGAGAGTACTCGTGCCTTATTGAACTCGGTAAACACAACAAGGCCTGAAGGAACAAGAAATCAATACAATGTTCATAAGTTGCAATTAGAAATGTAATATCAATGAGTGAGTGAGTGTGGTTTAACGCCGCTTTTAGCAATATTCCAGCAACATCATGGCGGAGGACACCAGAAATGGGCTTCACATACTGGACCCGTGTGGGGAATCGAACCCGGGTCTCCGGCGTGATGAGCAAACGCTTTAACCACAAGGCTACCCCACCGCCCTGTAATAGTGAGTGTGAGTATGGTTTAACGCCACTTTTAGCAATATTCCAGCAATATCATGGCGGGGGACACCAGAAAGGGCTTCACACATTGTACCCATGTGGTGAATCGAACCCGGGTCTTTGGCGGGATGAGGGAATGCTGTAACCACAAGGCAGTTAGGCAGATTACCCTCACCTTGGCCCCAATGTGTCTGAGTCTGAGGTCTTCTGTCTGGCTGTCTGAGAGCTCTGTCTCCAGCTGGTTCAGCATGTAGCTGGTGAGGAACTGGATGTCAAGATGGCTGGTGAGCTTCTTCAGCAGGCTGTTGCAGATGGACAGACAAATCGATGACTGTCTTTCTCTCATTTCCTCCAAGATCTGGAAGTACAAGTTCCAGCTGCTACAATACATAGTTCTCATAGGGGAAACAGATACATGAAACGCATACCATATTTTCTTGTGTTTAGTGCACACTTTTCCAAAACACAGCTGTGTAGAGGAGAGAGTGCATTATACATGCCATAGTGAGTTTTGATGTTTTTCCCAAAAAACACAAAGACATTACTGTGAGCACGTAACACCGGAAATACCATGTCAACAAATCCGTACTGGAGTACACAGATCTTATCGTGTAATTACACTGTCTGGTTATAAAATGTGTTTATTGCATGTCCGGACATGATTGTAACCTATTTTATTAATTTTACATAGCTGTTAAGTACTAGTACACTTACAATAGAAACTGTTTTGTGTGACTGTTATCATCAGATAATTCATTTATTGAACTGAATGATTGCATGTACACATTTGGGGGGAAAAAACCCCTGCTCCAATGATATGAGCAAATATTTGTAAACAAATGGACATATGCATCAAGTATTTAATTTGGATGCCTTGAAACAACAAATAATCTTAATTGATCAAAGTCAAATGTCTTATTTCTTTCCATCAGTGTGTAATGTTACATTCTTTTGAGTGAGTGATATTTTGAAAGGCTTTCAGCAATATGGTGGCATATCATTAGGGATTGGTATTGGAGGTTTAAAGTGTATCAAATATTTTGTGGTGCACAAGGCAATACTGCGATATGTTTCACGATATATTGTAATATTTCTTAATTTTGAATTCAGAAGCAATCAGATACATTAAGGTATGAATTGAAGATCCGGGGTAGAAATGGTCTTCAGCAACCCATGCTTGTCGTAAGAGGCGACTAACGGGATCGGGTGGTCAGGCTCGCTGACTTGGTTGATGCATGTCACCAATCCCAATTGTGTGGATAAATGCTCATGACATCAATCACTGGATTGTCTGGTCCAGACCCGATTATTTACAGACCGCCATCATATAGCTGGAATATTGCTGAGTGCGGCATTAAACAACAAACCAACCAATCATAAATGGAACAAAACAATATGTTTACTCGGTAAATAAATACGCAGCATGCATGCATGCTCCAGGTCAACGAGGGCATTTGGTAAGTGTATAACATTAAACACAACATAAAAATCGTTATTTGAAATCACCTGATGAGCATGAAAACAGGGACATCGTGATACATTTCGTGGAAAAAATGTACCTCAATTTACCGATAATACCTCTCACCCTCATATCATATCATATATTGCACATCAGCATGAGAGAGAGAGAGAGAGAGAGAGAGAGAGAGAGAGAGAGAGAGAGAGAGAGAGAGAGAGAGAGAGAGAGAGATTTACCACTTTAATGAAACCCACAAGGAGGTGTATGGACGTTTATAGAAACATAATTGGGGTATATAAGCATGCTAAGTTTCACAGATTGCACCACAATGTGGGGAATGAAAGGTGTGAAGGTGACATTTGAGGATGTACCTGAAATGCCTTGGCTGTGTTTGGTTTGTCTGTGCCAAGTAGTGACATCAGGTGTTTCTCCTCTATCTCCTGTAAGTACAAACATGTCACACATACAGCAACACAGATACTTCCCATGGAACTGCTTCACACAGAACATACAGTCACACACATGGACTGATTTATGTTTAATACAGCTTTGAACATGAACAGAACTTCAGTCTCACAAGAAGAAAGTGAAGCAGGTTGTAGTTGTTACCATGGTTACCACTGACAGGTGACACCCATGTTTAGTTTGTTGTTGAACGCCGCACTCAGCAATATTCCAGCTACATGACGGTGGTCTGTAAATAATCAAGTCTGGACCATACAATCCAGTGATTGACATCATGACCTTCTGATCAGAGGTCGGACGCCTTGTCCACATGACAAAGAGATTAACCCTGTCAGGAAGCTGACAAGGTAAGGATGAAATCTGTTTTATGACTCCACGTCCTGCTACAATATAGGGGAAGCAACTTTCAAACTCAAACACTGGTCTCACATACAGAATAAATATATTAAAGCAATGAAAATTTCTAGACACTGAAAACGTACCAATTTAAGATCCTGAGGAAGAGGATGGAGTTTACTCCAATCTCGGATCATTTCAAAGTCACCAGTCTGAAGCAGGATGCTCAGCACTTCCTTTGGGGAGGTTCCAGAACATGTGACCACTCTCCTCCAATCAGTGAATTTTTCTAGAGCAGAATGATTCTCCCTAGCTGACTCAATGTCTTCTCCTCGAACAAACTCTGCTGTCCGCTTTGACAACTTGAACTGCAGGTTCTTTACACTGTCTGTCATCTGTTGGGAAGAATTTATACAATCTTACTGGTCAGCCTACTCTTACTTTTGCAACAGTTTCACACAAAAAAAGTTCTGACATTATTCTTATTTCTAGACGTTCTTTGGGAATATTTTCCTCAAATGAAACTTGAGAGTATTTGTTTCATATTTTACCTTCAGACCCTACATTAACATACTTAATGAAGAAAATGTGTAAAACAATAAATTATACTGATATGGCCTCACCATAAAACTTACATCAGAGATCACAATAATGGTCCGTTTGGATTGTTGTTTTACGCCGCACTCAGCAATATTCCAGCTATATGACGGCGGTCTGTAAATAATCGAGTCTGGACCAGACAATCCAGTGATTAATATCATGAGCATCAAGCCACACAATTGGGATCAATGACATGTATCAACCCAGTCAGTAAGCCTGACCACCCGATCCCGCTAGTCGCCTTTTACAGCAAACATGGGTTGCTGAAGACCTATTCTACCCCAGATCTTCACGTGTTTGTTCATATAGTAGTGAATATAAACTATATTTAAAAAAATTGTCTTATAAAGCCTTAATAAGAGATATGCACTAGGCTTGTTTTGTGTCATCAGAAAAAATGATTAAATGCGATATTAATACACACAAAAGGTCCCTTCTCTGGAAAATATAATTTATGGCCCCAATTCTTGAACTCTGACAAAACTTGTCCCCAATGCAGGCACTATGCACTTTGTAAAATAACATGGGTCAAGGGCAGTAACTGTGTATGCTCAAGCAAACTCATGCAAGCTTTCATTTATGTATCTTCAGTGGTTTCTGAGAAAACTTGTCCCCATTTCATGCAGTATGCACTAATTTGAAAAGCACAGAGCAAGGGCCATAACTCTGTAAAAAATATATTTAAGACACCAACACATTTAAGAACAAGACCAGTAATATCAGTGTGTAAAATTCATTTCTCTAACTTAAATACTTTTTGACAAAATCTGTCCCCTTTGAGAAACAGACGGCCGGAAAGATGGAAGGACGAACTCTGTTCTTATATATCCCCCGCCCTACTACGTGGCAGGTGATGACAACAATTAAGGAACTAACATGTCTGGTGGCATAACATGTACAAAGCATGCAACATGTCAAAAATCAGATTACTCACCCTAAGATATACTTTTAGTTCCTTCAGCTTGTTTGTCAAAGCCGTCTTCAGTTCTCCACTCACTGTCTCAACCATGCAACTCTCCACAAGATCTATACCATAATCCACCGGGAGGCGACTGCACACCGACAGCACAGAGCGAGCATGTGAGTCCGGACAGAAGAACCGCCTCAGCCTATTGACGATGTCAGGGCTGTTTGCGTTGTGTTCCGACTCTTCTTCTGCCCAGCAGCCTAGGACAAAGTCATGGAGAATCTGCCAGTCACGGCGCTGCTTCATGGTAATCTCAGGGATACTCTTTAGGATTAGCAAGATGGCTGACCACTTGCGTCCAACCAGAAGCCTGTTGATGATATCCATGACAACCTGCTGAAACTGTATGCTGTCATGAAGGCTAAACATACATGTCTTGACACTGTCATCAATCTCATTGGTCACGAACTTCAACACCCGGTCACTACTGGACAGAATATCTGGGTTATCTGCCGCTGCTAGAGGAATGATATAGTTGAGCAGGTGGCGCTGTAGGATGGGGTAATCGTCCATCAGTCGCTGGTAACGGTAACTGCGGATGTCGACCAGACTGATGTCGGACATGCTCGTCGTGCGACTCTTTACACTGCTGGACTCAAAGTTGTCGTCCTGCAACTGATACTCAAGGTCGTCCAGTTCATCAGCACACACCAAACTGACCATGGTTGCCACCAACACCGAGTCCGTTTTCACATAGTCCAGAGTAATGGGGGTGAGCTGGTACGAGGGTGTCTCCACCACGAAGCTGCGATCACTCTGCTCCAGCAAGCTGTCCAAGGAGGAATCCAGCCCCCGGGGTGGGGACAGAGAACCGTGAGGCGTGGAGTGCACAGAGTCCTTTGGCAGAAGGGACATCTCAAATACAAAGGAAAACTCAAAGACATAATCACTGACTGTGAGGATAAATGGTTGATCCCCTGGTCCCATGTCACCTGAAAATGAAGACAGTATTTATCAATTGATTGTACCCCTGGAAATTAGTCAACAAATATTTCCAAATAATAGTATAATGTTTATTTTGCGATTAAAATTTAAAGTAACATAAGTTTACCCATGCTGGATGATTCTGCAAGAAACTCATTCATAGATTGGTTAAAATCAGATAAGACTACAGTAATTAGCTTTTTAAATGTTTCGACTTCATGGATATAATTTTGTTTAAAATGAAAAGTGAGTGAGTGAGTGAGTATGGTTTTAAGCTGCTTTTAGAAATATTCCAGCAATATCACTGCGGGGGACACCAGAAATGGGCTTCACACATTGTACCCATGTCGGGAATCGAACCCCGGTCTTCGTCGTGACAAGCGAACGCTTTAACGACTAGGCTACCCGACCGCCCTCAAAACGAAAAGAATATCAGTCATAAAAAATGACACCTTGCAACTTCATGTTAATTATTTAAACTACAGAGTCAGTTCCTTTCTGAAGTTCTGCCCACCTGTGCTCTCATCATCCAACAGCTGTTGAATATACTCTCCCTTTGTTTCCTCCAGAGTGGATACAATGAAGTTAATGAGGCCGTCTATACCAACAGTGTCTTCATCAGAACCCTGGCTGAAGTCCTGCTTGTACCATGATAACAGTGAGGGTATTGTCACCTGTAACAGAGTGAGCTGGGTTTATCACCACCTTGGTCAGTATTTCAGTTATATCACAGCTTGTCAGCTTGAGGTGGGAGGAGAGTCCAAAGTGATGATGTTTACCACTTTGTTGAAACCCATGAGCACGGGTATGGTTCTGACAATGTGACGACTGAATCACACGTGCCTCGTAACAAGGGATAAGAAACGCTGATCACCCAACTTTGTAATAAATGTAATGGGGGTGTTGGTATAAAGAAATATCGTTTAATATAATAAACAGCATTCTCCCGAGGCAAGGGAGTTAAGTGACTATAAAAATCCACTTTACACCCTTGCCAAACTAGGTTGCAATTATGGAGTTATATCTTGGCTGGACTAACAAGTCTATGCATAGTTCAATCAAAATAGTGTAATGACATCCGTTTTGTCAACTGTCATGCAGATTTCGGTCAACAGCAGGATTTGTAAAACATGTGTACCATCAACATGCCGTCAGCAGCAATTTTCCAAATCTTTTCATGTTTTCAATCAAGGTGCTCACATGATTTGATAGACTCCGAAAAGTAGGACCCGTTTTATTACAATATAGAACTTGATTATCAATCAGATAGCCTTGACTTGAAGGTGCCATTTTGTTTGAAGAAAATGCAAGTGACATGAAAGGTGGAATCTAATTGGTCAATAGGAGGGACATAGAAGGGACATAACTCGTAAAAGCCACTGGTGGCGGTACGGTCGAGACCAGAAATTCCAGCTTAGTTCAGCAAGGGTGGAAACTGGACACATTCAATTAACTCCCTTGCCTCGGGATGATGAATAAAAAGTAAATTGTAGTTTAGATGGGACCCGTTCCACAAAGTGATATCAGTGACACAACCAATTTGGAGGTGTGAGTGACAGAATCATGTGTCATGCAGAGGAAGCAAATAAACAATCATTAATAAGATAAATAATTAGTCTGGGTCAGGCAATTCAGAGGTTGATTGCATGAGCAATGATCCATTCCATTGGGTACAACGACACACAAATCAGCCTGGCCACACATTATAACCACCCTATTCCTATAAGGCTATTTTCAAGACAAGCATGGAGAACTGGAGACCTATTTTGCCCTCGAATCCTCATTGGGTTGTTGAAGGAGAATGTTGAGTCAGGTATAAACATTGCATTTAGTAGGTCATTGTGTTGATGGGAAAACATCATGCAATATTTAAACTGAGGTGAAATGGGGTTAACGTCACGTCCAAGATTATTGCACTTATTCAGCGGCGTGCATGCATGTGGTTGCTTGTTCTAGTCCGAACTGATGCCGATTCATACTGCTAGCCCACCGAGATACCATGCTGCAGTTTAACATGAATACCCCACTCAAACAGAGTATACTGACTCCAAGCCAACCAGTTCTAGTGTTAGTCCCTTAAGGCTGAGCGCCAAACAGAGTAAAAACAAATACCATCTTTTAACGTCTTTTGGTATTACGCAGCTGGGGATCGAACCCCAGACCTTCCACTCTCCAGGCGGATGCTCTATCATTTGACCACGGAGGCGAACAGCATTATATAAAGGGAGGCATTTGCCAGTAAGGACATCTTAACTTTGGTACCTTTCGAGAGTTGACATCCACTTCCACTGTGTGACTCAAGTAGTCTTTCATGGCAGACTCCAGCTGGGAATCCATAGACTCAGGACTCAATACCTGTGAGCACACAAACAGGAGACAAGTCAGTTAGGACATTTAATATATCAACTTCAACACATCAACAAAAAGCACAAAATGTTTCACTTATAAATGGCCTGTACTAACCACTTGAGTAACTCGTGTGTTTGTTGTTTAACACCCCATTCAGTAACATTCCAGCTATCTGACGGCGTCTGGAGTCTGGACCAGACAAACACTTGACTGATGTCTCACAGTATCAATTAAGAGGTTCATAGGAACCTGGGCCAAAAATGTCGATGAGGTCCAGCTTGTCTTTTTTAACATTTTCAATAAATAGTTATATATGGACTAACTGTTCTTAGCCACAGCATCTGTTGTTGGCCACAGGCAACTGTTGTTGTCCTTCAACAGCTTTATGGAAACTACCAGCTGTTGTTGGCAACTTGAAGCTGTTTACCTGGTCCTATTACACTTTGTAGGCTACTGTGAGTGAGTGAGTGAGTACGGTTTTACGCCGCTTTTAGAAATATTCCAGCAATATCACTGCGGGGGACACCAGAAATGGGCTTCACACATTGTACCCATGTCTGGAATCGAACCTGGGTCTTCAGCGTGACGAGTGAACGCTTTAACCACTAGGCTACCCGACCGCCCTTAGGCAACTGTGACCCAGCCAAGTATATTACAGACTATGTATGTGACACTCCACTCACTCACAGCAAAGCTTGCCACTGAAATATACCTGTTTTGTTTGTTTGTTCAGCAATATTCCAGCTATGGGACGGCGGACAGTAATTAATTGAGTCAGGACCAGACAATCCAGTGATTGACATCATGAGCAACGATCCATGCAATTGGGTTACGATGGCATGCATCAACCAAGTCAGCAAGCCTGACCACCCGATCCCAATAGTTGCCTCTTACGACAAGCATAGTCGCCTGTTACAGCAAGCATGGGTTGCTGAAGACCTATTCTACCCCGGATCTTCACGGGTCAAGACATACCTGTATTGGTGGGGAGGAGACACAGCCTTCACTCAACACATACAGCAGGCGAGATTCAAGAGGAGGGGCAAACTTCATCCATCTATCATGAACATCCAAACCTGGCAATATAGGAACACATATATAAACCGGTATGCTAAAAAGTAGACCTCACGTCTGCCATTCTTTACATAGTCTGGCTGAATAAAAAATTCGGAATAGAAAATTCTAGCATAGAAATCCCTCTTTGAAAGGTGCCTGGGGTGTGTCATGTAAATTAAACAATGTATGGTGGCAAGACAGACTGATTTTCTTGTTTGACTGATGAACCTTCCAGAAATGAAACAGTAGCAAGGATGAATGTCTGATATGCCTGCTTGTTAGGAGAAGCAAATGAATTAATGTTGTCTAATGTTAATCAGCATATCACAATGGCCAGGTAACAATCAAGTCTGTGACAGGCAAACCGGTGGTTGACAGCATGAGCATACATTCAGGCCCTCAGTGCATGTCACACCCTGAACCAGCAACAAGCTAGGGTACTGGGATCTAGCCTGTCCAAGAGTCCCCACAATGTATAAGAAATCATCTTTGATTGACATTATGAAGTTGGCAGGAAGACATGACACCTTGTGTGATGACACTATCTTTATTAGAGTGCATGTGTGTGTGTGTGAGTGTGTGCGTGCGTGTGCATGGCTGTTTGTACTAGTCCGGACTGATGCCAATTTATAGTGCTAGCTCACCGAGATACCATGCCACAGTTTAACATGAATACCCAACTCTGAGCCGACTAGTCCTTGTTTTAGCCCCTTAATGCTGATTGACAGGCAGGGTAACAACAAGTACCATCTATAAACGTCTTTTGGCATGACGCGGCCGGGGATCGAACCCCGGACTTTCCGCTCTCTGGGTGGATGCTCTACCGAAGACATGAAAGCTTAGGTGACAACAATATCATTATTGTTTCTAATTAGGGCTCCTTGTTTTCCCTCCATCAGATGGCAATTGAAAAGTCCTGTTAATCTACTTACTTTTGTGTGAAATGAGTTTTCTCCAGTTGACAGGTGCAGGTAGTCCGATGCGGCATATCACGTGCTTCAGCTCAAACAAACTATTAGACAGATACATATATCATTGATAACGATACCATATAACATGGTAACAACAAATAATTCATTTTGCCAATGCAACTTAAGCCAAGATTGAACTGGCTTAGTCTAGAACACTCTCATTAGAACACAGCTAAAGGCTTTGGACACATAGATGTGTGACACATAGGTCACAAGTAGTACAATTATATAGAGACAGGGCTTAAAAAATAAGTCTTGGTTCTGAAGCACCGCCTGCATCATCATAAAGTCTGCCAAACTTTTAGTTTTTATTTCCATTTTTTTTTAAAGTAAAAAAATCCTAATAATATATGTGTTATTCCTGGGATTCCAGTAATTGGGTATGCCATTTCAGTTTCATATGCTGAAACAGCTCTGAACACCAAGATTTGTTTAAAATGTCTTAGCCCAATATACAGGAACAAGAAAATACACTGATCTGGCCTAGAAATGTTCACAAATATAATGTTTATGCATGTTTGAAGTAGTTTTGATGAAAGTGTAAACTAAATCAAATAAATAGAGTTTACTGGAATAAAATAAACACAAAAAATTCATTAAATATTTTTAATCCTGATATCTGAATAATAACCTACATAACACAGACTAAACTCAGAATGACAAGCACATTTTATTCAAGGGGGATAATTCGTTAGTTTGGTTTGTAACAGAAGCAGTATGTGAAACATGTTAGTGAGCTCACCTGACAACTCCAAGCTGTCCTACCCTGTAAGTGAACTGTTCCAAATGTACGATACTGTCTATTGTAGAAGCCAGGACAAAGTCATTGATGGTGTGGGAGGTATCGTCACTCACATCACTGGCAGACTGAAAACAGTATTCTCATGTCAGAGTTGCTGCAATTTGTTAAACATACTTTTCATTATGTGGCAAACGTGGTATCTCCTTCATAAGACTTTGTACAAAATGTGATTCTGTTCATCCAGCAGTGAATGAAAATATATGAGCACTAAACAACATGCCTAGTTTTATACTTTCCATGCAGCTGAGAATGCAATTTGAGTGAGTGAGTGAGTTGGGTTTAACGCCGCTTTTAACAGTATTCCAGTCATATCACGGCGTGTCAGCTTAATGTGGGAGGAAAGCCCGAAGTGATGCAGGTCTCAGATGTTTACCACTTCGGTGAAACCCACGAGCACGGGTATGGTGCTAACAAACCTAGAAACATAATCGGGGCGAACCGGGATTCGAACCCACAATCATAGGTTTCAGGCGTGCCTAAGGGACGCGACTCTGCACAGCGAATCGCGGCGCCTTAGACGACTGGGCCACCCGTGCCCCCCGAATCCAATTTGAAAGCATGTTGATTTGCTGAAAGGGTAAGGACATGTCTTACACCTTGAGAACGTAAACAATAAAGCAAGATCAGTAATTCCTATTGACTTTGGACAGAGATTAACTTGCTGTGGCCTTGTTCCAAATAGGAATCTTAATGCTGCAACAATTGTAAGTCAATCCCAAAATATTTGAGTTATATCGCAACTCTAAAATCCAGTTGTGGAACAGCACCCCAAATTAAAATTAAAGAGACTGAAAGCACTGTGGGTACTCTGTGGTTACCAAATTTTCTTTTTCTGATGTTGTCTATTTTTGTTTGTTTGTTGTTTAATATAGCACGCAACATGCTCAGCAATAAATATCCCAGCAACATGATGGTGGTCTGTAAATAATCAGGGTTGCTGAAGACCACTTCTAAACCAGATATTCACTGGATTTAACCTTTGATGCTATCAAATCTCACAAAGTGGAATTATAGTGGAGTGAGTGAGTCAATGTTGTTCTGCGCTACTGACAATTGTAACACTAGAATGTGCTTTTACTCAAAACATATGCCTCCCCCTCTTTTTTGGATACACTAGCTAAGATGTTACTGTAAATGTGTTTTCAAATCTGAAAAACAATAAAGCAAATCATAGCCTAGAAAGATAATGGTTTCATGCAAGAATATTCATTAACTGTAGAGTTTTGAGATGAAACAAACACTACTTGTTTGATACTTAATCCACATTGTTTCCATGGAAACACAACAAATTAAAAAATTAAAAAGGCCAAATTGAGCATATGGTCATTGCACATGCATAATTTCATGCAAAAATATTCATTAGTTTGAGAGTCATGGCTCAGAAAAAGCCAAGAATTGCGAGACACTGAGTCTAAATTGTTTCCATGTAAACATACAAAAATAGAATAAAGAAAAAATTCAAAATAGCAGAAGGCACCAGTGAGGCTTATGTTCAGTTTTGTAGAAAAACATTGAACATTTGTAAATTTTCTCCCAGAAATGAACCATACCCTCGTTTGAGACTTAGTCGTAATTCTTTCCATGGAAACACACAAAAAATAAAATTTTGACAGATTTCAAAATAGCAAAAGGCACCACTTAAGCTGATGAGCAATTCATATCCCAAGATTCATTGGAAAACACCGAACAGTTTTTAAGTTATGGTTCAGAATAGGATGTGAATGCTGAAACCAATGCCAATGGGAACCAAGCCAAAAGCACTACCGGTTTGTCTCCCCTCATTTGGGGGTGGGGGGTGACATAACAAGGGCAAGAAAAACCAGGGGTTGAAAGCATGAGCAATGATCCATGTTGAGGCACAGTGTCCCACAGTTGTAACATGTCACTCATTGTAACCATCTGGGTCAGTTTGGATCATGTCTGTCCTGGAATCGACCAGTGAAGATTCCGGGGTAGAATAGGTCTTCAGCAACCCATACTTGCTGTAAAAGGTGATTATGCTTGTCGTAAGAGGCGACTAACGGGATCGGGTGGTCAGGCTCGCTGACTTGGTTGATACATGTCATCGATCCCAATTGCGTGGATCGATGCTCATGCTGTCAATCACTGGATTGCCTGGTCCAGACTCGATTATTTACAGACCGTCGTCATATAGCTGGAACATTGCTGAGTGCGGCGTTAAACAACAAACCAACCAACTGTCCTGGAATCACCAACAGGCATTTCTATGATTTCCAAGACACAGACAATATTTCTTCTGACCACAGACGTGGCTGACATACCTGATTGAGAGTCCTCTGCCAGATCTGATGCAGGAACAGATGGATGGTCATGAGGTTCTGGAGATTGGCATAGAAGCACAATGACATCTGCCTGGTGTGCAGCTGCGAGAGGTCGACCTCCTGTAGCTGGCTGGTGGAGGCCAACAAGTCTCGGTACTCTTCTGATTTCATAGCAAGCTTGGCACATGATGTGTCAAATATACTCTGTGCATTGGACTTAGCAGCAGTATCTACAAAGAAAATCGGGAATTGTTTAGCTAAGTCTGACAGATGATCTCAACATTTCCTGCAGCTACTAATCAAGTCTTCATGAAGCCAGGTAAATATGTTGTCAACATGGCCAACATGGAATGTGTTGCACCAAGGTTGTGGAACTACAACTTTTCTATTAGAATTGATGTATTGTGTTTCACAGGGCCTATCTAAAAAAATAGAAATGTTCTTATAAATTGTCTTCTTATATACTTATCCTATCTCACAGTATGCATTTTTTTTTCTTATTCCTACCCGTATATGGAAACATGCAAGTTCCCAGCTTCTTAAAAACACTTCAAGAAAAACACATCCCAGCATGACCATGTTTACTGTTTTATTATTCAATTTCAACCTGTAGACACTATGGAATTACAGCTGAAATGTTTGTTAGCATTGGTAACAATGTTAACGTAAAAATATAATGAACAAATGGAAGTTTACAAACATAATTCGTAGGCCAGTTGAGTATTTTTAACCATTCAAATTGAGAATGATATTGCAGTCTACAAGAATAGGTCAGACACAGTTATAAAATGCAGATTGGAGTCAGAGGTTCTTTTGCAAGCAATGATACAAATCTTGATAGTCGTTATTCCTAAAGATGCCATGGCTAAGTGTAATTCCATCAGGTGAAAATCCAAAACATGCACTGTGTAATTTCATGAGCAAATGCGCTAAGGTTAACCTGGTGAAGGAAAATATACTCTCCAAGTCTTTCACCTTTCATTAAAGTGATAAGCTTGTCCAATAGATGGCGTACAATCTCTTCAGGGTGCGGTGGGGATTGGGGTGGAGGCTGACTGGAGTTGTAAATTAATCTTGGTCCAAATACTTCATAATCTGAAAATAAGCAGAGTTCCATCTTACAGTAACTTACAACAACAAAATAGAAGTCAGAATAATCATATCAACATAACTGAAAGAAACACAAAATTGAATTGTGGGATACAATGATAGGATGACCTTCACCTTGGTTCAGTTGCAAGGCAAGCAATGGTGGCAGGTGTTTGCTAGGGATTCGGGGGCAGCAGCTGTGGACTATGATGTGTGTTAGGTTGAGGCTCAACTTTTGGGCCACAGTCTCCAATCTGGAACAGAAAATACCAGGATGTATCATTGAAAACAAAGTATATTCCATCCCAATATCACAACAAAATGAACTCTCTGCTAGTGCTTACCTTTGACAATATTACGAATAAAGAGTACAGAAGAACAGAAGGACAGACAGACAAACAGACAGACACGCACACCCACAAACACACACACGCACAAACACACACACGCACATGCACATGCACACGCACACGCACACGCACATGCACACGCACACACACTATTATCATGTATCAATTACCTAGATGGAATCATTCTCTTGGCAAACATCAGCCTTCCCAAGATGGTGACTGGTCCTTCCCGCAACATCTCAAAGTAGTTCTGTGGCACGATCAGTGTCTCTGAAAGATGCAAAACATGTCTCTACTTTAATACCACAATGAACACATGCCATGGGCAATTACCCAGACAGCAGTTTCTTCTTGTGCAGATCTCCATCAAACATAGTGTTCCCGAATATGAAATTTTACAGAGGCTTCTGATTTACAAGACCGCCTCCGTGGTTGGCACTAAGGGGCTAAAATAAGGACTGGTCGGCTCGGAGTCAGCATGGTCAGTATAGTGTGTCTGAGTAGGGTATTCATGTTATTTCAGTGGGCTAGCACTACCAATCGGCATAAGTCCGGGCTAGTACAAGCAGCTGCACGCATGCACATCGCTATATAAGTGCAACAATCTTGAAGGCGATGTTTAACCGCATTTCACTTCACCTCACCTCTGATTTACACTACATGTTCTCATCCTTGCACATATAATGAAATCATCATACTTAAATTTAATACCTGCTGCTGCCTTTACTACTAGTAGTGAGTGAGTTGTGCTTAACGCCACTTTTAACAGTATTCCAGTTATATCGCGGCGTGTCAGCTTAATGTGGGAGGAAAGCCCGAAGTGATGCAGGTCTCAGACGTTTACCACTTCGGTGAAACCCACGAGCACGGGTATGGTGCTGACAAACCTAGAAACATAATCAGGGAGAACCGGGATTCGAACCAACAATCATAGGTTTCTGGCGTGCCCAAGGGACACAACTCTGCACAGCGAATCGCGTCGCCTTAGAAGACTGGGCCACCCGTGCCCCTCTACTACTAATACACTTACACAGCATTGTAAAATAATTACAGTTGGTTGGCGCGTGTTGGGTTTAACAATGTGAACAACACTTTGACTAGTATCATATTTCAGTTATGTCACCAGATTTCAGCTTGATGTCGAAGGAAAGATTTTTGTGAAACATATGAGCAGGAGTATATGCTGACAACTCTAGAAACATAATCAGGGCAAATATGGGATTCAAACCCACGACCATAGGGTTCTGGGCTGCCTAAGGGACACAACTCTAGACAACAAATTGTGGCTTCTCACATGACAGGGCCACATGTAACCCCATCATTACAATGAATCATATATACATCACTATTTCATGTCATAAATTATCATTTTAAATAATGTTCAAAACACATGATCAGTGAAGTTGAGTATCAATCATGCCATCAGGGTATGTCACTTGACCGCAGCCGTTTCGGTCATTTAATCCATATCTAAATTGCTGTTACCATTAGCATTCAGTATTTGGGACCAATTCTGCCCTTCAGAGCCACATGTAACCCCATCATTACAATGAATGATATATACATCACTATTTCATGTCATAAACTATCATTTTAAATAATGTTCAAAACACATGATCAGTGAAGTTTGTTGACTGTCGATGCTCACCTTTGGTTCTGCCGTCACATTCTGCTACAAGTATTGCAAGTTCCCGTACATGTTCATACAGACTATGAAGGTAACTCTTGTCATGAGATGCCTCCACGCCATACCTGGAAGGTGAAGCAGCCCATGACATCACTGCTATAAACAGGCAGCAAACAAACGGAAGAGGTTTACTTCCATAGCAACAATACAGACACATCTGAGGTCTGCAAACTACTACCTCTAAAAGTACCAGGGCCCTGTTCCACACAGCAATAGTACGGCTACGGTAATTCCCATACTTCAACACAGACTTACAACAATTGTAGCACTATGACCGCTGGGTGGAAGTAAATGTAACGTGAAGAAGGAGGAAAAGTTGCAATAGTCAATGTGCAATAATTGCTTTGTGGGAGTCAGTAAGATCAGGACCCACGTGCACAATTTGTTTGTTTGTTGTTTAAGGCCGCAATCAGCAATATTCCAGCTATATGACGGCAGTCTGTAAATAATCTAGTCTGGACCAGACAATATAGTGATTGACATCATGAGCATAGATCCACGCAATTGGGATACGATGGCATGCATCAACCAAGTCAGCGAGCCTGACCACCCGATCCCATTAGTTGCCTTTTACAACAAGCATAGTCACCTTTTACGGCATGCATGGGTTGCTGAAGACCTATTCTACCCCTGATCTTCACAGATGAAACCGATCTTAGCGCTAAGGTAATCGTAACTCCCATACTTTATCATAGGCTTACAATAGTCTCAGCGCTAAGATCACTTTGTGCAAGTGGGCCCTGATACCTGGACCGTAGTCATCCATCCAAGGACCAGAGACCCATTCCACAAAGTGATCTTAGTGCTAAGACAATTGTAACTCCCATACATCAACTTTAATGGAAAAAGCAAGCAGATTCAATTACAGGTCAAATTGAATTGGTCCCCAGTACCATGCTGTAAGGATGAGGGAGTTGGGTTTAGCATGGCTTTGAACAGTATTTCAGTTACATCGGAGTGTGTCAGCTTCATGTGGGAGGAAAGCCCAAAGTGATGCAGGTTTTAGATGTCTACCATCCTGTTGAGATCCACTAGCACGGATATGTTGCTGACAAAACTAGAAACATGATCAGAGCAAACCGGAATATGAACCCACGATCATAGATTACTGGCAAGCCTTAGGGACACAATTCTGCACAGCAGTTACAACAGAGTCAACTATATCCCCTGTGACAAAGCAAACTTAGCGCTATGATAGTCATAGAAATAAGATGGTATTGTACCCGCCTACAAAGTTCCATCCAAAGAGATGAAGCAGGGTGACCTGTGGTTGAAACTGAGCATCAACATTGCCATCTGGGTATGTCACTTGACTGCAGCCATTTCGTCCATCTAATCCACCTTTAAATTGCTGTTACCATTAGCATTGAGTATTTGGGACCAATTCTGCCCTTCCCAAGGCAAGAGCGTCAAACAGCCTTTTTTATCAAAGACTTGTTTCAACCCTAGCAACATCAAGCCCTATTTCCTGTGCTAAATATGATTAGACTATTGCACATAGTCAACATCCACAACTGGTACACATTTGTATGAAAGTGATTTACCAATGCCTGTCTTTGTTGACACAAATATTCCATATTTAAAACCCACAGAGCCTATGTTTTGTGTCAGGGGTGAAGTCACAAATGTTTTCGTTATCTGATCGACTAGGTCGTCGCCTATGGTAGTCGCCATCTTTGTGAATCATACGAGATCCGAGAACAACGATCTGATTGGATATCTCATTTTCATTACAAGGGGCACAACTCTACGTAATGTGGCACCTGGACCGTGCTAAGAAAAGTGGCCTTGATCTGGCAAGGGTAGAAAGTAGGCTTTGATATAGGCTAGTGGACACGCTTGCCTCAGGTAGAAACTAGACTTTGATATAGGCTAGTGGACACGCTTGCCTCGGGTAGAAACTAGACTTTGACATAGGCTAGTGGACACGCTTGCCTCGGGTAGAAACTAGACTTTGATATAGGCTAGTGGACATGCTTGCCTCAGGAAGATGATGCTGGTAATGAGTTGTGTTTCTGGCAGTCTCTTGTGGTTTCAATCATCAAACAGAAAGTAACACATACACATACCAGACACACATAAGTGTAGTTAACTTTCAAAATCAATTTTACAATTACGAAATATTTAACTACAAAATGATGACAAGCATACCACACACAAATATTAAACATACAATGGAGATCTTCTGTGTCTGTGATGACACTAATGGAACTAGATCTCACCGTTTGAGGAGGTACACCAGGCCACCTTTCGGTGCACATCTCTCTAGTGCTGTACAAAACTGCTTGTAGGCAATGTGTATTGGAGATGACCTTGGAGTGTCCTTGGCCTTAGGTGATGAGTCCTTGAACTTGGGTGATGAGTCCTTGGGAGACACCTGAGGCGAGGTTTCTGGCAACTGCAAACTATCACGCCTGTTCACATTTTCAAAGGCCCTATTAATTTTGTCAACCCACCTTCTAACATCCTCAACAACACTAACAAAAGTGTTCACTTTTTCAGATACAAGAGGACAAGTTCCAGTTCTCATTTGCCTCTCTAGGCTTGGCTTTGATGATGTCATTGGCCCACCGTCTGTGAATATTTTCCCAATATTAGAATCATCTGCAAAACTATGCACTAATTTCTCAACTTGTCTAAGGAATGTTAGTGCCCCTTTCAGCCCACCGTCGCTCTTTGATTTTCTACTTGAGGTACTCAGACCAGCACTGTCCCTCCAACCAATGTCTTCACTCATCTCATTGTCAATGGTTACTTTAGTCTTGATAATATCAAAGAGTTTATTACACAAGTCCCATGTCCTACATGAGGTACACACAAGGTCTAAAAGTATTGCAGTACTGACATCAATTTCCTTGAATAATCTCATAATGTTCTCAGGCATGTTTGAGGTGGTCTTTGGCTTTGGCAAGCTGGGGATAATCTGGCCAGACAACAGCTCATCTGTCACATTTGAGAGCGAGGCTGAAGCAACTCCTGCAGCTGCTACTTTAGCCAAGGCCTTCATGCTAGGTCTGCCTAGGTTAGATGAAGCACCAGTTCTCTCCCTTGTTGAACTTTCTAGGGTTGCCACTTTGTTTGCAGCTTTGTGATACGCCTCAGAAAATGACACCTCTTCTGCTGCTTCTGACTTCTCAAGCTTAAACAACTGAAATCAGAATGAATATTTCTTCTACTGTGACCTTCGAAGATACTCAAAAAAGGACACTCTGGAGTCTATAACCTACCTCTGATTGAACTGAAAGCACCAATGTGAAAGAATATTTTGATAAGAAAACACTTTCTCAAGCACGATTACTAAAAGTTATTGAAAACTTGATATTGAAGTTTTTCCTAGACTATATAAAGCATCTTAGGCATATTCCTCAGAGAGAAAATATATGTGACTAATTTCATGTATTGTTTTATTAGCACACAATTTATCAATACAGTTATTTAATGCTTTGTTGTAGCACTTGTGTTCATAATGAAAAGGAAGACCAGCAGAACAGAATCCAGTTCTGTAGTCTAAAGAAAACAAGAGTTTCAGTGCATGACCCATTTGGGTGGTGACCATGGTGATGCTAGGATGTGTTCGCTGATTCGTTTTTAGAAGCTGGAAACCTTGTTCAAGCATGTTTTCCACATAAGATCAAAAGAAAAAGAAAGAAATGCATAGTGTGAGATAGGATAAGTTTAAAAATTTAGATCTAACAAGACACCCCCTTTGACATCCTCAGTCTGCAGCATTGACTTCAACCGTTAGCTCATCCAGACTTACAATTCACAGTGAGTTGTTAAACATTGTGGGACAATCTCCCAGTTGTCTAGTTGACATATCTATTAAGTAATACAGTTGATTTGTCTGTTCTTCAGACAAAAACAGTTAAAATTAATTCTTTCCATCACAGATTTACTTCAAACATTTCCAACAAGAACTCACCTTGATAACTTGGGCTGCCTGTGCAAAGTTTCCCTTTGATAAGCTCATAGTCAGCAGGGTGTCTGGTGTTGACAGCATCAGTGGAATTATCTCCAGACCTGCTTGCACTAGCCTGCTCTGAGTGCCAAAGCTTGCCCTAGACACACCAGACGATCGCCTATGTCGAACTTCAACATCACCTGGGCTACCCTGCATCTCATTCTCTCTGTTCAACGTCGGTGATGCTTCAAAATAAAAACACCTTGTCACTGACTGCTAATTTTTGTGAAAGTAGGTTATTGATCAAAACAATACTTTCTTTCTGTGGTATGCTGGTAATCTATCAGTTGCTGTAAACAAGGTAGAAAGCCATCCAAACATTGCCATAATAGAATACAATTGTATGCCTCTCTGCTTAAAATATCCAACTTGGCAAGTCATTGCTATGAGTTTAAAGGGTTCCTATAGATTTGAAATATTCAAAATGGAAAACAATTCAAATTTAATCAGTATCTACTTTCTTTATGAACAGAGGTCAATATTGAAAATCAAAAGAAGACACAGAGTAAAGCCAATACTTGAGCAATAAAAGTATTCACCGATTTAAAATTATAAAACTCCTTAAATTTTTTTTAAATCCCTTTTTTTTATTGACTGTTATCGAAGTGCTGAAACATTACCTGGGCCCGCTTGCACAAAGCGATCTTAGCGCTAAGATAATTGTAACTCCCATTCTCCAACATACGATATCTCTTACGATAGTCTTAGCGCTAGATCGCTTTGGGCAAGTGGACCCTGATCTTGAATTTCGCTAACCTGCTCTAACCTGTGGAAACCCTCATCTTGAGAATGCTAATACAAATACCTGATCTCTTGTCCTTATTTGGACTTCTGGATCTTCCCTTTCTCCATCCATCTGACCTGCATACATCAAAGTTATCATCTCCAGGAACAAACACCGGCCTCTGAAGAACCTGACCTGGTTGCTTGGGCAACTGGTCATGTGACACCAGCTGGAAACGCCACTGCGCCTCATGTATATACTGGGTGAGTCTGGTCAGCCTCTTCTGTAATGTTTCTGGAACAACACTCGACTTGACAATCTGTGTAAGAGCCTCCTCCATGGCAGGAGTAACATGCAGTGTATCTGAGTTTCCCTTCTGCTCCGACTTTTTACCTAAATCTGACTTCTGTCCAGTCAGTTTATATCTGACAGCATTGATATTAAGAAGGGACTCCTTCAGCATTGCAAGAAGGTCCCGTACAAGATATTCATTTGCTAGAAATCCTAGCTTGAAAACCTCACATTTATCTATTTCCTGTCCAGCCACAGGAACTCTTTTCCCAGTGGAGTTGATCGTCATCTTGGTGTTGTCTGAGTTGAGTAGAGCAGATGCTGACTTCTTCACCTCCTCAACCAACTGATCCTGAGGAACTCGGACTTTCTTGTGGACAGACTGAGATACTTGTACAGGGGGATCTTCCCGGAATGGTTCATCATAACCTGACCCACGTGCAGGGACACTTTGACTACTTAGTGGCGGTGGCTGGCTTGAGTAAAAATCCGTCTTCAGGGCCAGTGGTGACGTATCCTCCTCTGAAATGAGTGAAGTGTTGAGGGACATATTCTCCTGGCTGTTCCTCTTGCTCCCATCCTCGCCTCCTTCATCACTATCAAAATCGGCTGTGTTGGAACATTCCTGGACATCCCGATGTGTGGCAAACAGTAAAGAAAATATATCCTCCAGCACTTCAACCCTGTATGTTAACGGGTGTAGTTTCTTCAGGTGGTTCTGGGTGTCCATCAGTTTCTGAGTCACACACTGATCATACAGATCCTGAAAGCTGTCCTTATCAATCACCTGACTGATGTTTTCCGAGGTAGACCTGGTGAAGTTGGCCGAGACAGACCTGCTGATGTTTTGAGGGTACTGGCTGCTGCTGTCTTCTCCCTCACTGCTGCTGACACTCACTTCGCATGTGAAGGATTTCGAGAGACTCCGCGGCCGAGGGGCTTTCCTCACACAGATAGGGTTCATTAATTCAAGATCTGCGTTGTCAGAACAGAAGGCGATGGCATCCATGATGTTCCTGATAGCACAAAAGCTGCGATAAATGGAGAGATCTCGCTGCTGCTCAATACTGATATCTGGTCCGTCGTCTGCTTCACTCTCACCATTCTGGTCATGTCCAGCAATGTTGAAACGTACACTCTTCTGCTTCTTATTGGACTCTGAAGGACATAGAAGGTAATAGAAATTGCAAGCATTGTCGCAATTTATCCAAAAGTTCACAAAGCATTACATAATGTTCGGACAAGAATTAGATCTGCCGAAAACCATCAAGGCTGCCATGGAGCACCATGGCAACATTATCATAAACACTGATTTTCAAATTTAGGATACACAAGAGAAAACATTCAGTCAATACCTGACATTTTATCAACTTTGTACAATACAATTTATCTCGATGTCCTCACAGATTCTTTTATCCTTATCTCTCTCATTCTGTCTGGTGTCAAATGAGATGACATCAGCAAAATAGGTGTCATTTTTATCTTATCTTTCAAAATACATATATCAAGTAATGTTGTATTCGGTTCCAGTAAAACGTCACTGGGTTATGGTGTATGTCCAGTCCGGACTGACCTGGGTCCTGCCTCCTGGCCGTGTTCTGGAGCAGCTGGAGCACCTCCTGCTGGTCAAGGGAGGCAAGCGTTGTGGACTGGTGCAGGACAAACAACACTGAGTGGGCCTCCAGGCCCTGCAGGAGATGTGTGGCTCGCTCCTGGTTTGTTACACCAACACCGCTCGACTCCAGCAGGGGTCTGACAACACACACGGCTCATTCACAGCTCGGGAGTACTTATAATTGAGGGGGTGGGGGATGGGGGTGGGGGATGGTGGTGGGGGTTTGTCTGTTGTTTATCGCCACACTCAGCAATTTTCCAGCTTATGGCGGCGGTCTGTAAATAATCGAGTCTGGACCAGACATTCCAGTGACTGACCTCGTGAGGATCGATCTACGAAACTGGGATATGGTGACATCCATAAAGCAAGTCAGCAAGCCTGGCCACCCAATCCTCTTACGACAAGCATAAGAAAACTTTTCAAGAATAACATTGAAACATGTGAGAATTCTTACTCTTAAATAACAAAACCTGACACAAAATCACAGGTAAGGTCAAATGGGATTAAACAGCACGTTAAATATTATTTCACTCATGTAGCAAAGTGCAAGCATGTGGGTGTGTAGTCGTTTGTCAGGTATAGTGTGGAGTTAAAGACGGTTTTAAAGTGCTAGTTCGCAGAATATCATGCAACAATTTCACATTATGCCAACCAGTCCTTATTTTATAAGCTTATTGCCGAACACCAGGCAGGGTAACAACAAGTACCATCTTTGAACATCTCAACAAACATAGAAATAAGAACTGTTAAAACTTCATATTTTATTCCATCGCCAGGAGCAACTCATGTAGTCAGTTGGTTGGTAGCAATCTCATCCTTACTAATCACTTCATTTACACAAGAATTAGTCATTTCTTGAAAGTAAAGCACCTTCCTATTTCTGGGCATCAAAAACACTCAAAGACTGATTCACCATACTCCAAAATAATAATTATGGATAAAAACTGAAGTATTTAAATAAATGTAAACCCTGACTGACAATTGTATTACATGTTACTCAGCCACAGTGCTCATCTGATGGCTTTCCACAACATCACTTCAGGATGAACACAAATATTTTCACAAACCAGCATGGCGGATTTTCTGTCTCTATGTAGTTATCAAGCCTCAATACACACAAATTATCTCCCATGATCAAACACATATTTACTCTTCAATTCTCAAGAATATCATTCACATCATTTGACTATCAAATATAACCTGTTGAGTCATCTAAACACAAGCATGAATTACAATTCTTTCTCTACACCTTGACAATTTTTTGTTTCATAAATTTTGCATCAGACATGTAACCAACATTTGTGCTTACACCACAGGCTAACCTCAAATATTGTTATCAATACACGCAGCAGTGTGTATCATGGCTAATAACCAGCGAAGGCACACATATCGGGGTTCATATAAATCATATGTGCCCTAGGGTCATATCACGTCACAAGACAACAGCGTATTGTTTCTGTCATCCGGACGGGATTGTTGACATCATTCGAATCTTATCTTATTGTGACGTGAGGTCGGAATGACGTCACACTAGACACAACGTCATAGCTGAAGATTGTTGACGCCATTCGACAAATTGTGGTTCCACTGCTGTTATCACTTGCAACACTAAAATTTATCTCTGTATGTAGACATCTTCTTCGGTAAAAAATAAAACATTATTTTTGTTTTCACATCATACTATGTTTACGACATTCGTGCCCAAATTCCAGTATTAAAAGTCTTGTGTCGTAAACATAGTACGGTATGACACGAACACTCATAGAATATCCTGTATGTATGGAACGGTTAACTACTCCACCTACTTGGTTCTATCAAGGCACCACTGAATGAGGTCAATCTGGTATGCCAACTTGCGGCAGCCAGCAGCCAGGGCAGGATGCCGACACGGCGTCTGGAATATAAACAATGAGTTGATGGAGTTCTAAGATATGATAACAAAAATCAGAATTCAACAAAATGTCAAAATCAAACATGGGTTGCAATTAAACACATGGAATCAATACCCGGGACAATCATCATAAGGATCAGTAATTCTAAACAACTTTAATTTTCAGAAAAAATATATATCATTTTCTGTAACTTTCCCTTGATGATTTTTGATACAATACGGAATAGGAAGAAGTATGCCTAATTGTGACAGTATTTCCATAGATCTAAAAAGGCAGTAGGGCTGGGACGGGTAACTCGGGTACTAGGGTCGTGTGGGTCCTGACTAGGGACCTGGGTACCCACAAGACTACCTGGACCCGTGGTTAGTCATGTGATATATGGTTAAATGACAATAAATAAAATTCCATGGTTACACTAGTACAAGTCGCTATAAATGTTCACAATTCTTTCTGACTATGGGCACATTTCTTCTGACTTTTATATGTTTGAGGAAAGACAGTATGTTTGAGTTTCAGTCAACTCAAGTGTATACACAATCAGATCATTTTATACTATATCTAAACACTTTTTGCCAAGGCTCCAGTAAAACAATTCCCAACTGAACATTTTGTTCCCAACTTATGACCTACAGCAGGTACCCGGGTAGGGGCGGGTAATAGGTGAACAGGTACCCACGTAGTAAATTTGGACTCACCCAGGCCCTAAACATGCTGAAAGGCAGGATATTGGAACTGAACATCATTTGAGACATTCAGGCTGTTAATGAGTGAATGAAATTCCTGACGATTTGCTTACTTCAAACTGAATCCATATGGAGTTCAATTTCTTCACAATTATGCCCAAACATGTCAAAATAACACAAATGGACTATCTAGGCATTATCTGACGCTGATATTCAAGAAAGTCTGCAGCAAATGTAAAACTTCTCAATTGGAATTAGTATATGAAAAATGTTAACTGTAGTAGCAACTAATAGCCAAAATATGTTTTTCCCCACTATGCCTTGTTCACATACCATTATCTAGAACATTGTTTTGTGTAAATACCTTTTCATCCCAAAGAACATCCAACAGTTTCCTGGCAACTGTTGAAGTTGTACACAGTGACCAGCCGAGCAGCAAGACGACTGGCTTAAGGGGGTGTAACTCTGTCGGTCTCAGTAAGTCCTTAAGCTCTTCAAATTGTCCACATCGTATCAAGCTAAGGGAGGTTTCCTTAAAGAGAAGCAAGGGGATATTAAGTTTCTTTACCATGTTTACAGAGTGAGTGAGGCCCCTTTGAACAGTATTGCTGTTATATCACAGCATGCGGGAGGAAACATTAAAGTGATTCGGGGCTATAATGTTTACCTCTTTAGTGAAACCAAGGACCATAGGAATTTCATACAGATATTAATATCAATACACTTTTCTCAATACATTTATCAGAGGTAAAGAAGTATTCATAAAAATAAAATATTTAAACTGAATGATTGGTTTGTTTGTTGTTTAACACCACACTCAGCAATATTCCATCTGTATGTCAGTGGTCTGTAAATAATTGAGTCGGGACCAGACAATCCAGTGATTGACATCATGAGCATAGATCCACGCGATTGGGATACGATGACATGCATCAACCAAGTCAACGAGCTTGACAACCCGATCCTGTTAGTCGCCTCTTACGACAAGCATAATCGCCATTAACGACAAGCATGGGTTGCTGAAGATCTATTCTACTCCGGATCTTCACGGGTATGAACTGAATGAAGTTCATTAACAGAAATTGAAATTCATTAATACCCCCAATTCTAGAAAAGAACATTCACCATCCAAATTGGCTGCCACAAAAGATATCACTTGTGTGAGATCAAGTGACATCTCTCAGGAGATATCGCTGAAATGAAATTGCATCACAATTCCTTTCAGACTATAATAACGTCATGACATCACAATCAAATGACATCACTCATCTCTCTCACTCAGACAGGTTAGCTGTACTGTTTACACTCAAGAAACATTTTTGATGATACTGTAGCACACAAAGAATCTTACCCTCATGTCTTCCGATATTAAATAAATCAAAACTTATCTATAATGTTTAAAACTCCTTGGCAAGCTTCAGGAGTTTTAAACTGTTATTGTCTGATGTTGATATATCAATATCAAAAGACACTGGGGTGAGATTCTATATTTGCGACAGTACATGACCTACAGCTAGAGAAGTCAAATAAGAATGAATGTTTAGTTTATAAGATACTGACCAACACCATCTGCAGGAAATGCCTCTGTCTCTGAGTGGAAAGCAAAAAGAGGTTCCTCCAACACTCTTCACTGTCGAGACCTCGAAACAAGTGAATCACATCCTTCTCACTATCAGTCAGACGATCAGTTCCACCATGCTTGACTTTTGATGCCAGACTCAGTTCATGGTCTAACTTACAAAATGTCTCCACCAGATATGGGCAATCCCTGCCCAGCAACACAGAGAGTATCTTGTCCTTCCTGATGCTGCAGTCATGTTGATGAGACAGCTGCAGCAACCGTGTGAACAACTGCTGCAGCTGAGAGTAGTTCCAAAACGGTACCGGGTTGTAAAACGACAGCAGGGTGTATACCTGGACAAAAATCTGTTCACATTTTGTCCTTTCCTTGCTGGAACACTTAGACAGGGTGTCAAGGTGTTTGTTGATACAGTCGAGGTAAACACCTTGCAGGTTTTCGCTGTTGCGTTCTTCATTACTCCGTTGTTTTTGTTGTTTCTGTTCTTGTCTCTCATGTGTTTGAGGAGGTGTGAGGGCTGTTATGAGGGCAAACCCTTGTGATGGCCAGGTCAGGAGAACATGCTGAATGTGGGTCAGAGTGCCCTTGGGCAGAGGAGATGCTCTCTGTGATGAGGTTGGTGGAGTTGAGTGGATGTGCTTGAACCACAGATATAGTTCCTGCAACATAACATTTCATGTCAAGCTGATGTAGCAGTCATCAATGTCCTAGCTCAGCATAGAATTTTGATTTCCAATTACATGGCCGTGTTCAGAACCCTACCGAAAATACAAACTTAATTTGACACATAGCTATGTTCACGGACATACATATACGTCTTTGCTATGTTGAAAATTAAGCATGAAAATCAAGGGTTCCTTGTCCTAACCCTAATGTTAAAAGTTAAAGATTTGGGGCATTCACAGATTAAAATATACTTCTCAAAAGAAGTTAAAGGACACAGGATTTTTCCATATGATTATTGTCATTGTAACTTCTTTTCAGGAGTATACCACACCAGCAAACCTCAAGGACACTACCCCCCACCCACCCACCCACACCCCCACCCCCACCCCCACCCCCACCCCCACCCCCACCCCACCTACAGTATAGGTATAACTCTATTTCATTCTATCATATAAACATGATAGACAATGAAACAAAAGCTTTGAAAGAACCAGAGGAACTCAAGGATTACAATACATTTCTAAAGACAAGAAATAACTTGAGATAGTCTTTTGTGATTGAGTGAGTTTGGTTTTACGCTGTTTTAGCAAAATTCCAGCAATATCACGGCAGGGAACACAAGAATTGGCTTCACACAATGTACCCATGTCGGGAATCGAACCCGGGTCTTCGGCAAGATAGTCTATAGAAAATTAAGATATGAATGGTCAAAAGTTTCATTTAAACATTTCCAAACAAAAGCTTCATTAATAAATCATGAAATTCCCCAGTTGCACAAATAAACAGAATTACCCAATGAAACTAATTCCAATGAGTTACAAGAAAGATCACTTACTTTAATGACTTCTGAATCTGCCTCCTGACATGTTTGGGTCAGAAGCAATCTAAACTGGATCTCTTTGGACAAGTAACTGGGGGATTCATTCTGAAAAGGGAAAAAACACAGCCCAGCATCAGTTGTCACCATCTAGTAAGGAAACTGTTACTTATCATGATTCACATAAAAGAAAGGAATGTAGTACCCATCTTCCCAAGGAGGGGGTCCACTAGCCTATACCAAAGCCTACTTTCTCCCCTTGCCACATCAAGGCCACTTTTCTTGGCTCGACCCTGGCGCCACCTCACGAAGATCATGAGTTGTGCACCTTGTAATGAAAATGCAATATCCAATGAGATCTCTGTTCTTATCCCGCATAGCTTCACAGAAACAGTGACTACATTAGGCGACGACCTCGTTGATCAGATAACGAAAACATTTGCCATTTCATCCCTGACCAAAATACATAGGCAATCGTTGAAAAAGATGAAAAAGACATATTCGTGTCAACAAAGACAGGCAGCGGTAAATCACTTAAATACGAAGGTGTACCAGTCGTGGATGTTGATTTTGAGAAACGTTCCCTGATTGGACTATCGATATGTGCGATAGTCCAATCATCTTTAGCACAGGAAAGAAGGCTTGATGTGGCAAGGGTGGAAACAAGACTTTGATAAAAAGGCTAGTGGACGCACTTGCCTCGGGAAGATGTGTAGTACCAAACATTCAATTACTTCAATTCTAGATGACAACACAAAAGATTTTATCTGCATTTTTATTGACATCATTATCAACATAAATGGCAAATACAAGTTCCACTTAATATACAGTGACATATCACATGCTACAAAACATGCCAAATGACCAAAATGTTGAATTTAATGCAAATGAAACATTTTTGTTTTAGACCTCATTACACATGTTACATTAGGTAAACTAGGCATTGTTATGGTGTGTAATATAGTGGAAAAGGCAGGAAATGATTGATCTATCTAACAAGTCTTACACATGCTAAACTGGGCTATTATTACTATACAAAAGACTACAGTTGCTCTAACAATCAATCACTTAGTTAATACATATGCATGATAAGAGGAAAAACTATCATCTAGATAAAACAATCATTGACAAACTCAGGCCAATGTTGGTCAAATTGAACGTGCTAATTGTGTACCTTATCTTCACTCCAGTCTTCCAGTTGTTGGCATTCAAGAAGACACAACCATGACAATTCATGAGGACTGCTGAGCGACGCTGAACCGTAACTGTAGATAAATAAACCTTGCGAATAATACAAACCTATAAAACTATTGTTTCATTGAATATTCTAATGGTGCTAACATTATCACAATTGAAATAAGGTAGGTGATCATCAATACTATCTTGCCATTAGCATGATTAGTTACTTCATTTGTGTCTGAGAATCTCATATTTCCACTTTCCTCCTCAGGGATATGTTTTTCTTTCAGTGAGTGAGTGAGTTGGGTTTAACGCCGCTTTTAACATTATTCCAGTTATATCACGGCGTGTCAGCTTAATGTGGGAGGAAAGCCCGAAGTGATGCAGGTCTAAGACGTTTACCACTTCGGTGAAACCCACGAGCACGGGTATGGTGCTGACAAACCTAGAAACATAATTAGGGCGAACCGGGATTCGAACCCACAATCATAGGTTTCTGGCGTGCCCAAGGGATGCAACTCTGCACAGCGAATCGCAGCGCCTTAGACGACTGGGCCACTCGTGCCCCCTGTTTTTATTTCAAACTACAAGAACCTGAGAAGATGTACAGGGGCATGAGTCTCTAGTCAGTAGGCAATCCTAGCAGGTTGGATTGAAGTTATTCAATAACAGCTTAACAACTGTCTACTAATTGAAATCCTATGATCAATCATGCAGTTACAGAATATGCTAATTAATGTATACAGTACCAGTGTCTCAGTTTCACACATGGCACTGACTATGATGTCTAGGCTGTGGATCCACTTACATTGAGCATGTACATATGGATCCATTAATACTTGGCTAAATGTGAAATATACTCACCGCCAAAAGAAAAACGAAAAATAGAAACACATAGAGAAGTTTGTATGTTAAGAAGAGATGTTTCCAATGTGTGCCAATAATGACAAAACTAACAATCAGTCAAGTGTTACCACAGAGTGTCTTTATTCTTATCACGATATGCTGCACGTGATTTCCAAACTTTACATGCTAATCCTGTACAAGACAAATGGTGCACCTTGAGTCAAAGATCTATGACATCACATGTGATGCGTTCATGAGCATCAGTTCATACAACATACCAGTCTGTTCGTTTGTGCATCAAACCAATTATATATCTCCGAATATGAGTAAGTCTTCACATATGAACCAACATGTATGGTATTCCCATTTCTTTTGGCAGTGAGTGTGTAAATGGAGAAGGTCATTGAACAGTTTATCAAAGGTTCATGCTTCATGTGTATCACTAATTAACACTTATCAACAACAGCATATAAAGGTGTATGTACAAATATCATAAGATATCTGCCAAACTGACAGTTTGGAACTATATTCTTTGAAATATAATACACTTCTCTGTATCAATATGTTAAATTCAACAGCATGAAATACCTTGAATCAAATGGATATGCAGCTACTTTGCGTAACACATCCTTGATGTTAACGCCAATTTGATGACAGTCCTTGCTAAGTTGAGAAAGGCAGGCTCGTGCCAACTCCCACTGTCCCAGAAGTAAATTGTTGCTGAAGCTCTTGTACAACATAGCAATAGTTTCCTCCCCCTCTCTGTTTATGGAGGAGGGGTGTGATCGAGAGGATTGCGATATTGAGGCCATGCTTCCCAATGAATGACTCTCGATCGCACATGTCTATTACAGTAGACGGCTACGGGTTATCTTGTAAATTTCAAAATAAAAACATTTCTGTTATGGTTCTTATCATGTGTGCGCTGCCATTTTGACTAAATCACATGACCTCGAATAAACTTTGCCCTCTACTCCTTCAACCAATAAAATACGTCGTTACGTTTAGTCAGGTGACCAATCAGAAAACGTGTTAGATGAGTGCGGCAGTTTCGAAGCCAAGAAGTGAAAATGATACAGCGATATCAAAACAAATCTGTCAGCACTTATGCACCGTATCCCAAGTTTTCTCTTGATTTTGTAATCAAAACAACAATTATCGATGTTTCATACCATGTGGTTTGTTGGTGCTAAATAGTCAAATTATGAAGTAGCCCCGCTTCTGGCTGAAGCGTGTTCAGACACAACATCACAATCTGCATGATTGGGTGTTCCATTGGTCGAAAGTCACGGCAAGTTGAGACAGGTAGATCAAGAGTGTCCGTGTATCGATAGCTGTCCCAATTTTATGACAACATGGTGTACCTGTGTTGTTTTTTGTTTGGCCAGATTTGTTTAAGTCCTCATATATGAGTTCAGAAATGGATACTATCAATTCAGTAAAGCAAGAACAAGCTACATCTTCCGGGCATCATGTGTCTGGAAAAGCAGAAAGTAAACATTCTAGGCAGAGTAAATCTGCAGAGAAATCTAATCACCAGCTGGTAGCTGATGTGGTGCATAGTAAAATTGTACCAGCGCAATCAATGAATTTGTTAAAAACGTAAGTCATAATATCACTCCAGGAATACGTCTGTGAGCTACCTCCTAGATTTTGGATGTTATGTGTTCATGTCATTCTGAGTAATAAAGATTACTGACAACATGAGAGTGATGTGCTGCAGATCAGTGCTGTGTCATTTGTCACATCATAGTAGGTTCTGGCTTCATCCAGATTAGATTTAGAGAAGACTAGATACAGGACAGCTTGTTATCCTGCATGACAGTCATGTTTGTTTTATCGTGTTTTGAAGGGGAAAAACAGACATTGTAATGTTACTGTTAGTAGATGCAATTGCATGGAATAACACTGAAACCCATATTTATTTTAGTATATGAAAATTAGTTGGAAACGTTAAATAAGCTTCAGACAAGAAGCCTACAACATTAATAGTGTGTGTTAACCCATTATCATTTTGTACATTCTCTATTTTGCAATTGTAAAAAGTAAATTCTTTGCATGCATATTTGATACTGTTGATTACAGTTTACAATGTTTGAACATGTTAAAGTTTTGAGAAATTGAAACTTACTCCTATGACTATCATATAATCCTAAATATACATACTAAAATATAAAAATGAATCACTAAGGCCTTAAAATTCCAAGAAGGCCAACAAATCTACCCACCCAATTTACTAAAATCCCATACATATCCATTTATCCAGGTTTCATTGCTTTTGACAAACTTTTATCTTCTGTCAGATTTGTCTGATTATCCAACATTCTTTATCCTTTAGTCCTAGGATGCCCTCAACTCTTGATGACTTTGAAGTGGTCACAACAATAGGAACAGGTTCCTATGGAACCTGCAAAAAGATCAGGAGGAAAAAAGATGGAAAGGTATAATGTCTGTTTGTCACTAATAACTTATCACTTGAAACAATTGGTTCACAGGCAATGACCTTGCAAATTTGGGCTTTTTAAGGTGTGAAACAGTGTGTTTCAAGACATGCCCGTGGTTCACAATTTTATGTTTTCTTTTTCATGCCTGAGAACCAAGAACCAAAGTTTTCCTTTTTTGCATAGTTTGGTCACATGAAGATAATCAAGTATAATATTACACAGTAAACAGGGATGGTAATTAGCACCAGCCGTATAGCGCAAACCAGTTTTGTTAATGTTAAAGGTATCTTAAGAGTTAGTTGAATTTCAAACATTTCTGGGTTTATTATTATGTGTGATCACAATTCGTGATAGTAGACATTCTTGGTATTGCGATATGTCATCACTATTCAGACTACCAGACCTTCTTGGTTAATTTCCATCCCTGAGTAAATGACTTCATTTAACAGGTTTAGTGACATATCTTGAATGTTTCCTTGTAGAAACTTATGATCAGATTAACCAGTTCTTTTCTTGTATTTTTACCTGAGACTTGTTTGAATTGCTATATATCATCACAATTCAGGCTACTAGACATTCTTGGTTAATTTCCATCCCTGAGTAAATGACTTGATTGAGTTTAGTTTAAATTAACACTGATCTATTTCAGGTACTTGTGTGGAAAGAGATGGACTATGGTTCCATGACAGAATCAGAAAAGCAGATGCTTGTGTCAGAGGTCAACTTGTTACGTGAACTTCGACATGAACACATTGTCCGTTACTATGATCGCATCATTGACCGCAATAACACCACCATCTACATCATCATGGAGTTTTGTGAGGGTGGGGATCTTTCCACACTCATTGCTAAATCCAGAAAGGAGGGGTGAGTTATTTGAAGATTGTAATGGCAGTAACAATCTCCTGTTATAACTTGAACAAAGTGAAATGGAAGTTTGGAATTAATATTATGAAAGCTTTTAAGTTCTTAAATGGATATTCCTATTTTGATTTCACAGTAATGTATGTACTTGTACCCGATTGAGCCATCCACTCAATTATTTAGACTGGTACTAGCTGCACAACGATACAGAACCAGTTTTGTATGCTACTTTGTTAAGTAGATGTTATGCAGAAGCAGAGACAAAGTAAATAAAATAAAGGATTTGTTTACTTGAACATGCCTTTCCTCATTCCAAACACACTAGACAGAATACCAATGAGAAACAGGAAAGTAGTTTTGGTAAGGTTAATAGAACCAGCAAAACAGAAAATGGAACTATGGCATGAAAGTAACGTCACAGTGGTCAGGTGTCGAAGATATGACTAGGCCAAGCCTTTTTTGGCTGACTGCTATTTAACTGTGCCCCAGGCCTGGGAACATATGCTAATAATGTTTGGTCTTACGAGAATTACTAATTATTGGTCCTGGTGAATGAGTGGTGTAAGTCCAGAGCCAGCGAGCCAGAGTTTTGAGTCGGCTAGCCCATATATTACCCATTGTCAAGAGGGAAAATTAATTTTAAAAATATGACATGACAGCCCTGCAAAATTAACCTGTTAAAAAATGATAACATGATGAACAGTTGTTCACGTCATATATTTTCTTCAACAATGGAACAATTTGACATATCAATTAGCCCAACCAACTAGCATTGAGAATCGCTGAAATGCACATTCTGGTATCAAAATGTTAAGTCCTTCCCTTTTACCCCTATGGTTAATTTTGTGTGTAATATGTGTGAATTAAACATATGTTTTTAATATTTAATCTATTATGTTCTTCGTGTAGTAATATGAGCTATTTCGATTTGCAGTTTGCATGTTGACGAAAACTTTGCATGGAAAATTCTCATACAAATGACTTTGGCTCTACAAGAATGCCACAGACGAAAAAATGGCAAAGCTGTTCTTCATCGTGATCTCAAGCCTGCAAACGTGTTCCTTGATGCAGACAGGAATGTAAAACTTGGAGACTTTGGACTAGCCAGAGTACTGCATCATGAAACAAGTTTCGCCAAGACCTATGTTGGAACTCCATATTACATGTCTCCCGTAGGTATTTTGACAATGTTTAATTTTTAAACTTATCCTATCTCAAACTATGCACGATGCATTTCTTCCTTTTTTTCAATCTTTCTGTGGAAACATGCTTGAACAAAGTTTCCAGCATCTAAAAACATTTCCCCAAAACACATAGCATCACCATGTATTGATTATCTTTGTTATAACCTGAGGGAAGATGGGTACCGAACATGAAAATCGCCTGGCATGTCTCATGTGATGACAAACTTTCTCCATTCGGATCCTCTCTGTTGTGATTGTCGCGGCCATTGTAGTAAAGACAAAAGATGTACCCATCTCACATAAAAATCCTTTACCGTCTACCTACGCAACCGCCACAAGCGGGATGTTGACCAGCAGTCTAAGTCCAAAGACGTGGAACATGGTTTTCCTCTACTAAGAAGCCTAAGAGGGTGATCGAGCCAGTTGTCCCCTTCTCTGTGTCTGTCATCAAACCATCTTCAGTGTCCCCCCGGTTCAACAGTCTCTGTCCCCATTGCGTCTGTTCCCACCTACGGTGGAGCAACCAGCCGCCTCAGACGTCCGCATGGTTCTACAGACGACTCATCCAAGCCAGCTTCAACCCTGCTAGCGTTCCATGATCATCAGCTACCAATCGATTGTCTTCCCCTGCTCCTTCATGCGATGTTTCCGTCATTGTCAAGCTCACCTCTTCGTCTAAACGTACAGTCATTCCTAAATCGACTGAAGGATTCGACTATGCCTCAGAATGATCGTACACGTTGGTCCTCTAATCTTCACAAGGATCGCCATAGCTGGGATTGCTCACTCGCAACTACCAGGGATTGCCGTTCTTCATCCAGGAATCACAGCTCCAACTGGGAACTTTTGCCCCCAGTTGTACCAATTGTAGAGACTCCTGTAGGTGGCAGACTTAGTCTATTTGCAGCAAACTGGTCCATCCTTTCATGATGGTCCTCCTGCAGAATGGTTACAGTCTGCCACTGATTGGAACTCCACCGATGACGTCCACACCCATTCAGTGAGTGTATCCGGCCAGCCAACTTCTGGCACTGAAAGAAACCATTGGTACGTTGCTTTCAAAACATGCTAAAGAATATAGAAAGTCCAAACCCAAGTGCCCTAGGATTTAACTCCCTGATCTTCCTTATCTTCCTTATCTTCAATATGAAGACAAACAACGCGGTGTATCGAGAGGATTTTCACGTGACATCAATCATGCTCCCTCAAACTTTCATCAAACCCACCGACCACATGTCTGGTCTCAACCAGCAGGACGTGTTTCTACACATACCCATCCATCAGGAGCATCGCTATTTCCTTTGGTTAATTTTCCAAGGCCGCCTCTACCAATGAAAGGTGCTCCTGTTTGGAATTTCTTCGGCCCTATCCGTATTTTCAAGCCCATCATGAAGTTCCTACACATTCGAGGGATTGTGTTAGAGTTAATCATCGTTGATTGTATTCAGGCCCACACAGATCCAGACGTTGTGCGCTATCTTCCCGAGGCAAGAGAGTTAACTGACTATAAAAGTCCAGTTTCCACCCTTGCCGAACTAGGCTGGTATTATGGAGTTACATTATGGCTGGACTAACGAGTCTAAACATAGTCCAATCAAAATCGCGCACCAAAATCGAAATCTGGTTCGTAAACTGTCGTGTAGATTTCGATCGATTGCAGGATTTGCAAAGCATGTGCACCGCCAACCCGTTGTCAGCAGATATTTTCCAAATCTTTTCATGTTTTTAATCAAGGTGCTCACATGATTTGATGCATTTCGCAATGTAGGACCCGTTTTATCACAATATAGATTTTGATTATCGATCAAATAGTCCTGACTGGGCACCACCATTTTGTGTGAAGCAAACGTAAGTGATACGAGAGGTGAAATCTGATTGGCCCATAGGAGAGGCTTAGAAGGGACATAACTGGTGATAGCCACTGGTGGCACTACGATCGAGCCCAGTTATTCCAGCCTTGTTCGGCAAGGGTGGAAACTGGACTTTTAAAGTCAGTTAACTCTCTTGCCTCGGGAAGATGGGTGCACATGGTGATGCTGGAATGTGTTCGGGTGAATTGTTTTTAGAAGCTGTAAAACTTTGTTCAAGCATGTTTCCACAGAAGGATCGAAAGAAGAAGGAAGAAATGCTTAGTGTGAGATATGATAAGTATATAAATATACTGGGTTTTTTAAATAAAATTTACAGTTGTGTATTAAATGGAACCATGTTGTAGTACACAGCTAAATGTAAAAATTCAAAGGCACAAACCTATCCAATTCTGTGGTTCCAGGAACTAGTCAACAATATGTCGTACAACGAGAAGTCTGACATCTGGGCTATGGGGTGCATGCTGTATGAGCTGTGTGCCCTCTACCCTCCATTCACTGCCACAAGTCAAACAGAACTTAATCGCAAGATCCGCATTGGTGACTTCGCTCGTCTTCCAATTCGGTACTCAGACCAGCTGGACCAAGTGATTAGGAAGATGATTAGAGTTGAGGTGGGTGGTATGACAACATCATGCCTTGCAAGGTTTTCTTCCTGTCGAGTGTTAAATTAAGTTGAAATATGAAATAAATTCAAAGTTGATGTGTGAAACAAAGAAATCATTTTACCTGCCATTCCGTAAAACACTTCTTAATGTTTTTCTTTATTTCACCTGACAGACAATTCTTGTAAGAAATCACTTTCAAAACAATATCATTATATTTTTATTGTGACGAACAAACTCTACATTGTGGAGGGATCTGTGAACCAAATTATCAATAGAATCCAAGGTGCTAACTAATCTAAATTGTATGTTGTTTGTAGGTTGTTCGAAGGCCAGGCATTGAGGATATTCTGAGTGACAGTCTTGTGGTGTGTATGAGAGATAGATTATCCCGCCGCAGTTCTCGCAGTGAGAGTGATACCTCAGCACCACCACCAACAGATAGAATCTCACGCCAGGAAGAGGAACTACGTGCTAAGCTCAGACAATTGGATCTTCGTGAGAAGGAGCTTGATAGTAAGTCCAATGTTTTCCTGATGTTTCATTTCCTTAAAGATAAAGCATAAAACCAATATGTTTCAGTGCTGATCATGATGTCCCCAGCAGTTTTATTGATCTTTTACGTCACACCACCAGTATTGTTTTTCTTGATGAATATATTGCTTTTTCAAGTCGACGAAATTGCCTACTGATATAAAAAGTTGTGTACGAAATGGAAAGGCCCAAAGGGGATCAACTGTAAAAGGTTTCCAGATATGTTCATATATATATGTGTAACGTTTGGTCATAAACAAGTATATAAACATGATTCTTTCAGGTAGAGAGAGAAGTCTTGCATTAAAGGAGAAACTTGCAGATGATAAACTGAAAAGGTAAATCACATAAGCTTCAGATACTATTAGTTTATGAGTGACTATTTTTTTCAGTTATTTAAGAGAGTTATGTATGCCCTTATGACGTGTGATTTGTGCATACAACGTTAGACTGATGGTGTAAAAGCTTACAATCTTTCATTGGGGTACAACCACCTCCGTGGTCTAGTGGTAGAGTGTCTGCCTGTAGAGCGGAAGGTCAGGGGTCATACCACAGCATGCATGGCGCTATATGAGTGCAATAATCTTGAACACAAAATAAAACCCCATTTCACCTCACCTCACCTCACCTCACCTCACCTTATGGGGATAAATCTTTTTGTCTAACGGGATCGGGTGGTCAGACTCACTGACTTGGTTGGTGCATGTCATCGTATCCCAGTTGCATGGATCGATGCTCATGATATCAATCACTGGATTGTCTGGTCCAGACTCAGTTATTTACAGACCGCCGTCATATAGCTGATATATTGCTGAGCGCGGCGTTAAACAACAAACAAACAAAACAAATGATATGAAGTTCTGTGGTACACAGGGAAACTTGATGATCAAGTTGTTTTATTCACTCACACACACCGTACCTTAAGCATGGGTAAATGCTCTCTTAGTCTTTACTTCTCATGCGATATATATATATATGTGTTGCAACTAAATGGTAAAACTTCATGTCAACAAAAAGCCAATTCGCCAACTATTCATATGACTTCATTTACAGACACTTAAAACTTGAATCAAACAGCTTTATGCAAAATCAAGACACCAACGATGTTTATGTTTTCAGAGCTATGGATCTCCTGTCTCAGTGTAAACGTCAAGGAGGGTCTGTGATAGACGAGAATCTCTACTGCAGCCCCAGGGTGGCGGAGGGATCCCCCACCCCTATGCCAGGTAGGAAATACAGCCTACAGAATGGAGAGAACATCTCACCTGTGTGCCTTCCTGCTGGCTTTGTTGTGCCACCCCCAAGACTGCCCACTAACAAGCTTTGTCATGTCCGCTCTAAGCCATCTCGCTCTCCACTTCAAAGAATCAACTGACTGTCTGACATGTTCATACATTTCTGATCGTTACTTGATATGCATGATATTTGGTCCATGATATGGTTTTCATCACAATGCAGTGCATCTTTGTATTCAAAATTTAACACAAGATTGATAATGTTTTGTACAGTATAGATACCTTTAAACTATGTAATACGTATTACATTATCATATCTTTGGGGTTAATAGTAAGCGTTAAGCATGAAAAGTCTTTGGCAAGTTCGACAGAATTTTAAAAAAGCCAATTAAATGGTCTGCTTTTTCACTTCAGTCATAACCAAATGAAACTTTATCTTCTATCATATCATGGACTGATGTGATGTATACATCCTGGCATTATGCATCATTTCATCCTATGTCTGTGGCTCCTGAATGTGCAATATATAACTGTCCTGCTTTGTAGAATTTAGCATCACCAGTCAAGAAAAAGGACCCACCTGGCAAATTCTTTATTCTTTCAATATGACATTTTGATATTGGAGCTATTACCTCTATCAAGCACCTTTCACATAGTGTCCCAGTGACCTAATAAAGACCCTGAAATCCAGAAGTCAACTCTCCACATCCGTCTACAGGTTCTACAACATCAGATTGTGGCAAGGAGTCAGTAATGTCCTTCTTCTTGACAGATGACAAGTAGCTAAATTATCAAACTATCCACTTTTTCTGTAGATGCTTCTAGTTGTTTCCTGTCATGCTCTTGTAATGTTATGTGATACAGATATTTATCATCAATGTCTACTTCAATGTGAACCCTACTTTTTTTATGTCCAAAACAACAAAAATATCACTGGTTACCCTTTGCTGATCATTTGTGTTATGTTTATTGGTCGGGGCGGTCGGGAAGCCTAGTGGTTAAAGCGTTCGCTCGTCACGCCAAAGACCCGGGTTTGATTCCTGACATGGGTACAATGTGTGAAGCCCATTTCTGGTGTTCCACGCCGTGATATTGCTAGAATATTGCTAGAAGCGGCATAAAACCGTACTCACTCACTCACTCACTCACTCACTCACTGTTTATTGGTCATGCCTAGCTGACATAGTGCCTTCCCTTCATCAGCAGTGTTTGAATTGTATGATCCATTCTGTAGTTGATCTTGTCATAGTGGAGCATGATTGTACATGCCATTCAGCAAGTATCAAACCTCACTATCCTAAAGCTTACATAATGCATATGGATTGTAGTGCAATCCTGTCCACATGATGAAATAGCATGAGATTTATAAAACTTTGCTTAATGAACAAATATCTGTAACATACAATGTCTTAGTCTCATGAGAATGGTGTTACTTCTTCAGAGCCACAGTGTCAATGTTTTGAATTTTTTATTCTCTCTTCCAACTTCTGATCTTGATTTTAAAAATCTGTGATCCAACATATATATTGAAATAAATTACCTAAGTGCATTTCAACAGCACTGATCTGGTGACATCATTCAACCTGGTGTCATGTCAACTTGGTGTGCAACAGATACAAATCATGAGACATTAATAATAAAGAAAGATATATCTCCTTTAAAGTGAGTGATTACGCTATTGCGCTGCTTGTAGCAATACACCATCACGAGCAAGTACTTTGACAGTGGCGGTCAAGATTGAAGTACAACTAGTATGCATTATGTAGTCTTCTGACACTTCTTTCATAGTCACCCTTCATATCAATCTCATTAAATCAGCTACCGCTAAACAAGGATCTGAGGACATCCCATTAGGGGGCACGTCAGAACGACCTTTTATCCGACCAATCAGTGTGTCGCTTACCAGATCATGAAAGTCACAGTCGGAATGTGTTTTCTAATAAAGCAACCTCGAAAACTTTAACTCGGGGTATTCTGAACGATAGTTACAGGCTTAACGACTGAGTCCATACAATCTAGACCATCTTCTAGCCATTCCAGAATGTACTTTTGTTCAGGTTTCACTTTTCAAATTGAGAATTTGTCAAAATATGTTTCGAAGCGTAGTCGCCTATTTGAAATTGGTGCCGTAAAGCACAAGAAAGCTGCCTTCTGATTGGCTAATGTAGACTTCTTGTCAGTTATTCCATTGGTCGGTTAAAGTTCGCAATAGGTTGTTCTGACATGACCCAGAATGGGATGTCCTCAGATCTTTGTTTAGCGGTAGCGAGAACTAAGATCTTATTTTAATGAGATTGGCTTTCATATGTATATACCAGTACATTTAATTGGCATGTGTGTCTGTAGAATGTGAGTGTATAGCACTTGTAAACAGTCATCAGAATATATCACATCCTTCACAGAGATGAAGTTCTTTTATGTCTCAGGCAGCTTGGATGTATAAATATTTTCACAAACAAATATTTAAGACAATGTTGATCATTTACTACTGGTATGTTTTAAAGGGCAAGTAAAGTGAAAGAAATTATTGCGATTGCTTGCTTGCTTAGAGGGAATTCCAAGAGAGTATCTAAAGTGCTGAAATTACAAAACAAACATGTTTTGGGGCATTGCATACATTGTTGAATGTGTGAAACGTCAACTTTGATCTTGATATTGTGCATAAAAATTATTAACTATTCACAATCTGTAACTTGCATTTTATAACTAACATCCTGTTGGGTACCTCAGACAGTGACTTCTTACTTGTCCAGCAGCTGACCAAGGGATAATCCCCATCGTGTTCGTTTAAGCTGGGGGCTCCTATCAAACACTGTATGGGACCGATGGATGCTTTCAAAACATAGATAATGATTTGCGACCCAACAATGGGCATGGTCTAGATTTCGAAACTTCTTTCAGCCCCCTAAGTAGCAACCATTTTGGTCACCAATGTGTCTTAAGTCTATGATTGGGGACCATAAAAGGTGTTTCATTAATAGCTAGGGTAGTTTGTACCCTGTTGCATTTGCATGAAGTGATAGTGCACCGAAACGAAATATTTACATAATTAATTTACATAATTAAGGTTACCGGTCTATTATTACAACAGAATACCCATCTTTAGATTTCACACATTGAAGCATATTACAATCTGCAAAGTTGGTATGTTGACTTTACTTTCCCTTTAAGACCATCTGACATCAGATACAGCAGCAAGAATATTTTTATACCGCAGGTTCGGTAATGTGCCAAGATAAAAATAATGTGTGTGTTTTTTGCGCTATTTTTAGGCATTAAAGTTTCAGAAAAAATCATTGTTGTGTTGTTTGTACTGTCAGTAGTACCATTTGTATAAATAATCTTCAGAAAAAACAATTTCACAACAGAGAAGGGTAAGTATCGGAAAGCATTGTAATACCACATCACTTGCAACTCATATTGTAGCATCTGTATATGTTTCTGCTTAAGGTGAAAAATATTCTGCATTTGCGTTTCAGATGGGGTTTGTTTCAGGTATACCTTGGGGAGACCATTGATCTTTATATGTTAAGCAATATGACAAGAATATGTTTTTGGACCCTGATTGGTGGTATCCATGATTGCATCTTGGTCTCCAAAACCACTTGATCTATACTCAAAGGGTCACAGGTGGCCCAAACATCCGAGGCACCTCAATTCACTGTGCAGAGTTGCGTCCCTTGGGAATGCCAGAAACCTTTGATCATGGGTTCGAATCCCTTATTCGCCCTGATTATGTTTCTAGGTTTGTCAGCACCATATCCATGCTAGTGGGTTTCACCAAAGTGGTGAATGTCTTTAACTTAAATTCCTTTAACTTGATGCATCGTAAGGAAATGAAACATGGTCTGTGCAAAATGTAACAGCACCTTGGTAAAATCTCAACACTCTTCTTGTCTCAAACCTCATGCCGTAATGTCTAACATTGTCATTGTATATTTTCAGAGTTAACTGATCTAGAGTCTCCTCAATCTTGTCTTTCCAAAGGAAAGAAGGAGGCAGACACTCCAAAGAAACGTGTTTCCTTCGACATGTACGGCAAGGAGAATCTTCGTCAACGCCAGCGTTTCCCTGACTACGTGACTGAAGTGAAAGATTATGATGACATGTACACAAAAGAATTGGTAAAGCGCCAAGAAATCAAGGACCGATTGATCAAGGCAAAAGTTAGGGCCTTTGACTATGGAGGAGTTGATTTAGATACAAAATATAAGACCCGCAATTTGTTATACTTCCGTTAATATCTATTGTGTGAAATTAATCAGGTTGTTAGCCATCTTGAATCATGTGTTTTTAATTGTGGCCTAGGGCTATTTATATAGAGAGAGAACTATCAGAGAAGTCATCTCAGGAATTTTGATGATTTGTAAATCTGATGCTTAAACAGTTCTTTGTAAGCAGAATCTATATTAGAATTTGCTTGCCGAGGCCAGCCAGTTAAAGTGATTTGAATGTCGTGTGATAATGGCTGCCATATTGTTATGAGAGCTTTCATTCACTTGTGATAATTTAGTTTTGCATCTTGTTTTTTAAAAGTAATGACAATATCATGCTGTTGGAATTCCTTATTCCAAGTTTAAAGATCCAAGGCTGAGCTCTTCTTGGGACTACTTGTTTTTGTATGTGAGAGTACAAATACATGTTTAGTTCTATCAAGAATTTCAATTAATTGGCATTAGAAAATGTTTGGCTTGATGTTGGTGTATTAACATTGTGGACAGTGTGGTACAGGGGTATAATTTGAGATGGGTGAAAACATTATTAATTATTCACAATGCTAACTTAGTGCTACATGAGTTTTGAAGCATAACAGTTGCAAATGTCAGCACAAAGACCTGGAAGTCTGAAGTTGATTTACCTGTGTTTCCAAGGTAGTTTTTTTGTGTGTGTGTGTTCCAGACGTCAGGAATGGTATTGACTCAGTACAGCTGTTAAAGAAATCCTACTTTCATGTGTTAGATATATGAACTGCTTCATGTGAAGTGTTAATTTCACCTCACTCGGAATGCTGAGTTTGTAAGATTGAGGAACAGAACACAATCTCATTAGAATCAGGTCTTAAGGCTGGCTACTGCTTCCTAAAGGTCTGAGGAGAACCCATTACGGGCTATGTCTACAGTCAGAATGATCTTCCGCAAACTTTGACGGACCAATGAAATGACTATTACAGGAAGTCGACAGGAGCCAATCAGGAAGCAGCTTTCTGTAGCTTTATGGCACTAGTTTCAAAATGGCAGCTTCCATTACAGACTTTGCTTTGAAAACAAATTGACAAGGTTTTCAATTCAGAATTCAAAAACTGAACAACAGGAGAATCTGGAATGTCTAATTGATGGCAGATATTGTATGACAGTACTTCCACAGACCATGGAAAGTGTTTTGTTTCACATATATTTATCCCATTGAAGCGAGAGATAGACGATGATTTCGTTTGGAATGCCCAATGTGAGGTTACAGGATCAGAAAACACATTCAGACTTTCACTTTTGTGATGTTTAAGCAATGCTCTGATTGGTCGGCTGAAAGGTCGTTCTTGGATGACCTGTAATGGGATGTCTTTGTGTCGCCGTAGCGAGGACTAAGATCTGATTTTAATGAGATTGAAACAGAACATTTCCCAAACTAAATTTGCAAATGATTTTCACAGATTTAGAAAGGATACTAAGATGGTACAGATAAAAACAGTTCTGAAAAATATTGTTCTCTTTCTTTCTGAAATAATAAATTTTGAGTTATAGATAATGAGAATTTGATATGAAAAAGTGAATTTTGAGTGCTATTCTACTTGAGTTTTGTGTTTCTGGGTAGTACTGTAGTGTTACCAGTTTAGTGTGATAGCGGTAGCCACTACTACAAGTTGTGTTGCGTGTGTTTACAAAGAAGTATTTTAGATTCATCAATCAGTATTTCCTTTTTTTTCATATCAAAGTTGAAACTTCCTGTGAAACTATTTGTTTATCATGTCTTTCGTTTTTTCTAACGTTTGTTAGAATTGTCTGTATTGAATGAGTAGTGTTGTTTCCCAAAGAAAGGCCATTCACTTTATAATAATTAGTTATTGCTTCAGTCAAGTACACTGTCAAGGGACAACAACATAGAATATAGATGTTTACTAGTGAGCTTATTAGGACCTATTTACCACGCTTGAACTTTTCTAATGTAGAATACCATCATAGAACTTGTCTTTTCAAGCTCTAGTCAGCTTTTCGTGGCATTTTCATTGTGTCAATGTTAGTAGTAGAAAAGTTCAAATTTGTCTTGTTGATATCAGATACTATGCTTCATAACAATGTGTTTGATATTTGAACACCTTCGATATTTCCAAGAAGTCTTTTCCTTCATCCATTTTCTCAAGTTCAGACAACGAAATATGTAACTAATAAATAATATGATTGATGCGTGAGTTCTCTGTAAACCTGTAAAGTGCTCAAGGTTGATTTCAAGACAGTTATCAAGTACATTCATTTTCATGGTTATTGTTCATTGATACAAAAGAAACTTGGATTCCAAGTTTTCAATAACAACGAAAGGAGTGTAAATTATGAGTATTGTTGGTACCAAAAGGTACGCTTTGTCTGTATTGTAAGCTGTGATCTCATGTTGGCTTTGATTTGTTAGTTTGTTAGGTTGTTATGTTCATTGGTGGTTGTGATTTCAGTTGATCAGTTGTAATTTATTTTGTGTATGAATGTTATTTATTTATATCATCATGTGCATTTTTTGCTTCCATGAAATGTCCATAATTTACGCATAGTTTTCAGGCCAAACCTTTTTTTTAAAATTGGTTTACAATTCTGCTGAATGCAAACTTGTATTTTAACAATGAAAAACACTACATATATGTTTCAGTCCAGGACTGACTTAATGAACACTTCACACATTGCATACTTATTTATGTAACTGTATGAATTGTATTTTTAGTTTTTAAATTATGATTCTTTGTCATGAAATTAACAGGGTAATTAACCAGAAAAACTTGTAAAACAAAAGGAAAAATGTGTGGCCTCAACTTCGCAGTCCTGACTTCCTTGTTTGAGCAGCAGCTTCCCATAGTGCCTTTAATCACCATCATTAGGACTGGAGAAAAGGGGCAACAGTTAAAACCTCTCTTATAGACGCCATGCAACAACGGGTGTCAAATGTAACAAGTCAACTAATCTGGGAGTTGTAAGAATCCATGGAGGACTGTTGATGAGAGTAGAGAGTGAGCTCTGCGATACATGATGTAGTTTAATTTTTCAGAACTGATATCATGCAGACCACATCTTCGAATGGGAATACAACATAAACAGACTTAGAAATTTACGTTTATCCCGTTGCCCTCCTTGTTAGTTCATACTGCTTTGTATGTTATTGTTATTCATATCATAATAATCATTTGAAGTCAAATGTGGCATTGATCTTATGACCAACTTGTTGGATTGTTTCTATCAGGCTTCCTGAACCGACTGTAAAATGTCACTGTTGACTACAATCCCCGCACTAGGGTGAATGGCATGTCTGAATGGCATGATGTCTTCCTACACTGTGATACAAGAAGACAGACATATCATACTGGTTTCCTTTTATAATAAACTATTAAAAAAAAGTATTTATTTTTTTTATTCACTCCTGCAACATTAGTCATACATCCCATTACTGATGATGCAGTGTTAGCAATAGTCACGCTCCAAAACAATGATCCACTCAGTGGATCCCGTGCTGAATGCTAAACATTGATCAACTCAGTGGATCCTGTGCTGAATGCTAAACAGTGATCAACTCAGTGGATCCCGTGCTGAATGCTAAACAGTGATCAACTCAGTGGATCCCGTGCTGAATGCTAAACAGTGATCCACTCAGTGGATCCCATGCTGAATGCTAAACAGTGATCCACTCAGTGGATCCCGTGCTGAATGCTAAACAGTGATCCACTCAGTGGATCCCGTGCTGAATGCTAAACAGTGATCAACTCAGTGAGTCCTGTGTGGAATGTTTGGTTGTTTGTTGTTTGTTTAATGCCTCACTTGGCAATATTCCAGCTATATGGTGCGGCCTGTAAATAATCGAGTCTGGACCAGACAATCCAGTGATTGACATCATGAGCATCGATCCACGCAATTGGGATACAATGAAATGAATCAACTATGTTGGTGAGCCTGAACACCCGATCCCATTAGTTGCCTCTTACGGCAAGCATGGGTTGCTGAAGACCTGTTCCCTATCCGGATCTTCACGGGTCCCTGTGTGGAATGCTCAACGTTGATCATTTGAATGGGTCCGTGTTGAATGCTAAACATTGGTCAGCTGCTCGTCATGAATTGTGTAATATAATCAGCAAAAGTTATTGACTGGCTGCACTGTCTATAACCTTCCAACATCAGAAAGAAGAATGGGAACCATGTCCTGCATGTCCTCAACGGTTACCTGTGTGGATTGCAGGGCAAAATATAGAATATTGTAATATAGGACATACTTTGAGTTATAACTCTTGGTATGGGCCGGTAAGATAAGACTATTTCCAGACTGAAATGGGGACACTGTTCCGACATGGTTATTTACAGGCTGCTGTTATGATGACTATACAGCGTGAAACAGCTTTCACTCACTCCTAACCTGCCTAAGCAGAGTACTGTTGATGAAAAACATCTGTTTGAAAAAGAAGTACAAAAGTGATTGTGTACTGTGGTGTACTGTGAATGGAATTATTGTTCATATGATGTCCATGCCCTTCAATATGTTCAAGCCTTTTAATTTAAACCCTGATGTCAGGGTTCGTGGTGAAAACGTGACATATCCCTGCAGAAATTCTTAGCAGAATCTGAAAATCTCATACTTGTCAAAGAAGCCAACTAAGAGGAATGGGTGGTTGATGTGTGTCATGCCATGGATTATGGTTGAAGATGTGGGGTGATGCTATCAACCACGGAGTGAGTGAGTATGGTTTTACGCCACTTTTAGCAATATTCCAGCAATATCACGGCAGAGGACACCAGAAATGAGCTTCACACATTGTACCCATGTCGGGAAACAAACCCGGGTCTTCGGCGTGATGAGCGAACGCTTTAACCACTTGGCTACCCAACCGCCCCCACTGACAAGATCAGTAACATCCAGGCAATATGTAGGTGTCATATTGTCAACTGCAGCATTCAATCAATCCTTCACACAAATTTTCAACTCTCTGGAACTCATGCTTTTTTCTCATAGTTACGAATTATTCACAACACTAAATGTTGACAATCTAACATTCATGCAAAGTTCCAACATATACCCTTCTCATTTTCAGACAAATAGTTTTGGACATGAAAGCACATGTCTATTTTGCAATACCATCGGCAACTTTGATAGGGGCCAAATTGAATTCAGATCATGAAAAGTATTAAATTACTTATCATCATTATCATTCACGTAGAGTCTCAACAGGCTGCGCTTCGTGGTTTCAAAATACTTACAAACTGTTTATTAAGTAGGAATATATTTTTTCAATTGATAAAATTCATCAGCAATGTGTTCAGAAAAATCTTTCTGCAGCACTGTCTACAAGTACAATAGCCAAGGTATTGGCCTGTGCAAATACTTGAAACCACTTCCAGCTGTCATCCTTTCCACAAAGTATTATCTTTAGATGTTTTGAGAAGAATATTAATATAGAATACTAAACTCGCTACGGTGTAATACCAATTTTATGAAACGAGTGATTAGTTGTGGTATCTGACGATACCACAACTATTCACGAGTTTCATGAAATTGGTTTTACACGGTAGCGAGTTTAGTATTTTATTTATTACTTGCCATTTAAAACGTTTTCAGAATTATACTGTCGAGTGTGAATAGGCTGACACCTACACGATCCACGGCATAATACAATTGAGTTTAACAGAATAATACTTCAAACACGTCAAAAGTTGAAACGTATGAATTTAATACCATACAACGGTCTACCTTTAGAATTCAGGCGTCCGTTCCTAAAAATTATCCTAGCGTTAAGGTTATCGCAACTCACATACTTAAACTTAGACCGACGACTGTCGTTGCGCTACAGCACGATCGCCTTGTGGAACGGGGCCTTGCACCTCAAAGTTTACAATCACGTCCCAATACCCGATGACGTAATTTGTGGAATTTTGTTGCAAGATCCTTCCGCGAAACAATGCCATGTGACGTCAGCCTAGCAACAAGGTTGCTGGGGTCATCGAGTGTGCTTAAGCTCCTCTCAGTGATCTATCATCTCCACATGCAATGTTGTTGAATAAGCCAAGGGATGTTGAGAGCTTTCAATATTTTTCGTGAAACGTGTTCCGAGAGTACATAAGCACGCGTTTTGGTATTACACAATGTGTAATACAGCTGTATGTTTATTAAACGGGTGATCTCTTCACGGGCAAGTAATAAAACCTTTTCCAAACATCGGAACAATTTTGAAGAAATATTTGGTGGCCACAGTGGTGGGTGTATGTATGCCAAGCTTTAGTGGAGAACATGTCTACAGATGAGAACAAGGACAAAAATGTCAGATGTGTTCAATACGGCTGCTGGTCCAGCAGTCTACTGAAAAAATTATTTCCAAAATGAATTGTCAGAAGTGAGAAAAAAGCAATGACATCAACTCCCTTGGGTGTATACTACATGGAACGTTAAAAAATGACCGTCGAACACATGAATTACTAAACCCTTTATTTCTAGTTTGTAGAAAGGATCAATAATTTACAGTCCAATTCAAAATACCGTGGGGTTATGTGATAAAGTCTAAGTCCCTGTTCTACACAGCACACATTCATCAGTCTTGCATCCATCACCACGCCTTCTCTCCCTCAGCTAATCTGCGGCCACCAAACAGTCGACTTTTGTTTCGATACAACGTCTGCGTCTCGTCAAGCTGCCCTTGGAAGTAGCTGCCAACAAAGTAGGCTGCTGGTGGTATCAGCAGTGCCATGTAGTACGGCAAAAACCTCCCTCTTAGCATGGAGAACTTCATCTTCAGTCTGAAAACATAATAGAGTTGATGTAGAACAGTGCAATTACAAACCATCCAATCATGACCTTCAATCTAGCAAAAGTAACATGCAAATAAATCAGCCAATGGTTGGGACTCGGGCAGCTTTGTAGCATCTTCGCGAGGCAAGGGCGTTAACTGACTATAAAAGTTCCTTGCCGAACTAGGCTGGAATTTCCAGGCTTAATTGTAGTGCCACCAGTGGCTATTAAGAGTTATGTCCATATCACTTGTATTTGCTTCAAACAAAATGGCGGCGCAAGGTCAAGATGATTTGATTTGTAATCAAGATCCATATTGTAATAAAACGGGTCTTACCCTGCGAAGTGCATCAAATCACTAGAGCACCTTGATTAAAAACAATAAAAGATTTGCAAAATATCTGTCAATACCCAGTTGACGGTACACATGCTTTGCAAAAACAGCAATTGACTGAAATCTGCACGTTGAAATCCATGTTGTTTACAAACTGGATGTGTACTTTGTTACACGATTTTGATTGGAATATGCATAGACTTGTTAGTCCAGCCAAAATGTAACTCCGGAATTCCAGCCTAGTTTGGCAAGGGTGAAAACTGGACTTTTATACTCAGTTAACATCCTTGCCTTGGGAAGATGGCTTTGTAGCTAACAAATAGAAAACTGGAAAAAACATTTACTTGCATTGCACTTTGATCAGTATGTCAGTTTATCAAGGTGTGTCAGCTTGATGCGAGAAGAAAGCCAAAGTCATGCAGGCCATAAACCTTTACAACTTCGGTGAAACCTACAAGCACAGTTGTGGTGCTGACAAACCAAGAAAGATAAGGGCGCTGTTCAAGTGATTCTGCAATATTCCTGCTATTTCATAGTGGCTTGTAATGGCCAGTCAGGCCATTGGAACAGAATTATCCATGACCAACAAATGTTCCACAGTAGCCCTATATATTTATATTTAACAAAAGGGACATTAATATGCACCCTTCATCTAGATATTTGTTAATACAATTGATTTCTGGAAAGGTTACGAGTTACATTTCATTGTGGATTACCCTTTATCAACAGATAGATGGCAAGTCTGGACCGTATCATTTTGCGGACAAGCAAGATTATATATTAGGTTCTGACCCTGTTAAGAGTGACACACTAAGATGTAATATATTTGCCAATGTGAGACATACCAAATGCAGCAACATTTCAATGCCATTTCAGCAGATACTCACCCTGAGCTCTGATCTCTGCTTGTTTAGCTAGAAGGGCTTGATTAACCTTGAACCGCCTTGTCCTTGACAAATCTAACAGGATGGCGGTTGATGCAGCTACTGGGAAGAAGAGTGACCAAAAATTTCTCCTTAGGAATTTGCTGGACTTCTTCCAAAATGTCAAATTTCCTGAAAGTCCATCCATCAACTAAAAAAGAAAGAACAACAATCCTTAGACTTATTTTTGTTTTAACTGAAATGTAATAGGCAATAGGACTATAACTTGGACATGTTAGTTTTCTAACTTGATATCAGACCTGGGGTATTCGTATTCAGTATTTGTACTCGAATATTATTCAATACAAAAATATGAGTATTCAGTATTCATAACAACTCATGAATACAAGTATTCCTATTCGTATTCAATACAAAATTAATGTATTCACCCCAGGCCTGCTTCATATGACACCTGTTTGATCTCCTTAAATTAACAGTTTGTTGAATAATAATCTTGTTTTTCTTGTTTATGTTAAGCTTGATGACATATAAATATGGAGCTTTCTTAACTTAACACAACATCATAAGAGATGAAGAAAAGGCACAATGTGCAGGCGTCACTTACTTGACCAAAAACAACAGCAAGCTTTACATAACAAGATAAAAGTATATATATTTGTATCATGTTTAGAGGTAGCCCACAGGACCATACAGTATCAAAGAAACACAATGACCCCACAGACAATCTGTTTCATAACAACACATCCATTGTAAATAATTTTATAAAGGTCTTTACATCTTTGGAAATATAGTCAGGCATTTTCCATTTGTTTTCTCTGCCACAGGTAAACAATTTATAAATGGAAATAATTTCAGATTTTTAACTGGTCGGTTAGACCATCTGAACAGTATTACTCACATAAGTCAAATTGTCTAGTCTATTTCTTCAAAACTCAATGCATATAGATGGATATGTGGATATATCATTGTGTAGGTAGAAGTTATTTGTATCTGAAACAGTCAAGCACACGTGACTTGTAATAAAATTAAAGTCACAGTTTCCAAAGGTGCCTTTGGCAACTGCAGATAGATTATAGCTGTGTTAACTAGATCTTGCTTTTGATTACCAGTTGTTGAAATTGAGCATGAAAGTCATGGGGTCCTTGTCTTAACACTAATGTCAGAAGGCAATCGGGGCAAACTGGGATTCGAACTCATGATCATAAATAGCTGGCATGCCCAAATGATGCAACTGCACAGCGAATTGTGGCGCTTTTGACAACTGGGCTAATAAGAGTTATTGACCCGTGAAGATCTGGGGTAGAATAGGTCTTCAGCAACCAATGCTTGTCGTAAGAGGCGACTAACGGGATCGAGTGGTCAGGCTCGCTGACTTGATTTGATGCATGTCATTGTATCCAAAATGCGTGGATCGATGCTCATCACATCAATCACTGGATTGTCTGGCCCAGACTCGATTATTTACAGACCGCCGTCATATAGCTGGAATATTGCTGAGTGCGGTGTTAAACAACAAACAAACTATACCCAATAAGTACTGTATATACATTGTATCACTCAAGAATGCAGTGTCCAACATTATGTGGGGTCATAGGATCCATGAGGTCTTTCATTGTCTCTCAATCTGAATCTTTATCTAACATCAGGGTTGTGACCAGGGCCACTTGACGTTCTTCATAAATATTAAGTGCACTTCAAGAAAGGTTCTCCATCCGGCATTGTTTTTGTTCTAAAGTAGAATCTAACATGCTTGTCAAAATTTAATAACATCCTTCACATTTCATAAGGTTTATATAATTAAAGACCTTCACAACTATTTACAAATGATGAGAAAGATAAATCATTTCTATATCTCTCCTACATGTATACAGCAGATAATGTATCCTTTTGAGATTAGTCGGACAACACGTGATGTCTCTTTGTAATTGTGATTTCATGTGAAATGATCTTGACTTGGGAATGGAAACGAGAAACGAAACAACTAGGCCTATATTGAGCACTGTATGTGCCTGAAGTTCACTGAAAACAGTGGAATTGGCAATGCCATATTTGTTTTGAAATAGAAATATGTTCTAATACACAAAATATGTTTACCGCATACATTTAAATGACACAACTAAGTTAAAATCAGAAAGTCATGAGGTTTAGATAGAAATTGTGAACAACCTCAATGCATCTCCAGCCAGGTGAAGGTCATATGAATCGTGTGTTTTCGGCAAATGTCGTTTTCAAAACTTCCGGTAAGATAACACGTGCGGTAAGTCGCTGAATTTCTGAATATTGGACATTGAACAAAGTTTGCTTTCGTTTACTTACGTCAGCTCATGTAATTATTTCCTAGGCAAAGAGTAATTCGACACAATCATTCAGTGACTGTCAGTGTTGGTAAGCTGCTGATCACGAATAAACTCAATCTGCGATTGTGAATCGGACTGACGAAGATCAAGCTTTGCTGCTCGATTTGCTGTAAGTTTGACTTCGTTGTTCTCAAACTGACTACAGTAACTAGAGGTCATTCACACCCAAATTCTCATAATCACTATGGCTAGTAATGGATGGCGACTCTGGGGCTTAGCAAAGCCTGGGTTTCATAACTGCTAATTCATTTGATTGTGACCGTCATCGAGAGGCCCTTTTGAGGTTGACATTAATTCAAGCATATGTTGAATGAGAGCAGATAGCATGAAACTTTGTCTGAATATGCATAGTCTTTAATTAGAGTAAAAATAAATAAGTTATAACTTCTTGTAGCATTTTAATAAATGTTGAACACATTATAGGAATCTTGTGTATGATTACGTTTTCATAACCATGCAGTCGAATCCGTGAAGATCCGGATCTGAATAGGTATTCCACCACCCACGCTTGCCGTAGGAGACGACTATGCTTGTAAGAGGGATCAGGTGGTCCAGCTAGCGGACTTGGTTGATGCATGTCATCGTACCCCAATTGCGTGGATCGATGTTCATTGTGTCAATCACTGGATTGTCTGGTCCAGACTCGATTATTTACAGACCGCCGTCATATAGCTGGAATATTGCTGAGTGCGGACAAAGATAACCAGTCGGTCAAATATTGCGGCAAATCGTATATCTGCACATTTATGCTCTCACACAGACAAGGAATCTGTTGTTTTTTTGTTCCGATTAACTATAGTTGTAAAAAAGGGAAAGGAAACATCGAATTCCTATTTTAGACAGCTAGTTTGTAGGAAGATGCAAAAATATTGTACACGTGCTGTCTATGCCAAACTGGAACTACATGTATATTACTTGGAAGAGCTGCAAAAGACACTGCGTGCAGTTGTTGTGAATTACTCAAGTCATTTCTGCATGTAACATTGTGAACATGGTGAAATTGTATGTGCATTGAACATGTAGAGTCATGCCCAATAACACTTTTTTACCATTTTTATTGTGTATTTTGATTTCTAGCGTCGTAAAAATCGTCAAATCTCCACTGGTTTGTGATGATAGTATTAACGATGCGTCTTGAGCTGTAGATGTGTGGTGTTGTTGCCATGATGTAAAATGTCATTCTGGCTTACTACACTGACATTTATTCATGTCACAGTGGCTACATACTAATTTAAGGTACACGAAGTTCAAAGTATGGTGTATTCCTGCTATACTTGTATGACTTTTCGAGCTCGATCTTGGCTTGTGCTTTTTTTTTCTTGAAATATCAGTGGCTCATTTAGAGCGCAGATATGGCACAATCACGTGGTAACGTTAGAAACGGGGACTGAATTCAAGAATTAAGAAATTATGCTAACAATTTAACAGTGTGTATAAATGATTAATGTGTAATATGAAACACAAAACCAAGTCTTTATTGAAAACCTGTTTAATCAATGTTGTTGTTGTTTTCAGAAGCGATTGTAAATATTATACAAATTTTCCCAATTTGAAATATCATGCCTGGGTCATTGCTACAGGTTAGAGTAGAAGTGAATGATGTTTATAATGATATGAATTATCATTGTGTACGGATTCACTTTTTGGGGTATGAATCATCCAGTTGATTAGGTACGAGTGGGTACACGTTATCCAACATTTGTGTACGAGTCCGCTAAAGGAATACAACTGGGTACAAATTGTCCAGTTCCTCATGAGACGCTTCATGGTATGGGTGGTTCAAGTAATTTTCAACACACATCATGTATGGAACATGTAATCATTAGTCTTTGTAGCTACTTGAACAAAAATACAACTCTCACAAAATTATTCCATTTGCTTTTATTGAATATGTAGCAGGGCGTGGAGTCATCCCACAGATGGCATCCTTACCTTGTCAGCTTGCTGACGGGGTTAACCTCCTTGGTCATGTGGACAAGACGTCCGACCTCCGTCCGTGGTTCGAATCCAATCACAGGACTCGGAAATTTTATGGCCGCTACATTGGCGCCCAACGTGGCGCAAGGTAAGGATGTCATCTGTGGGATGACTCCACGCCCTGCTACAAATACATAATACCATATAAATCTAGTGTCACTCATCACTCATCTTTTTTGATACATGTTATTTAATTGATTGCTTCAGAACATGCATATGCGACCTATACTGGGCGTGGTGTGACAGGACGCAACGACGATGTCATCCCTCAAGGTGAAAGGCATAGCACATTTATGTTTCACAGAAAATGGATCAACATTTTATGGACTCCTTGTAACCGAATCACGAGAGCAATATTCAGTTAGAGGGCGATGTCACATCTCGCATGACCACGTGGACACCCACGAGTGTTGTTTTGACGAACATGCATCTCTCATGGAACTGACTGTCACAGATCATATGAACTTTGACGACGAATACGTCATACCTGACGTCATGAAATCAGGGGGAGACAACTGTTCTCTTACATCAAATCACGTTGAGTTTCATACAGATCAACTCTTAGTAGATGCCAAAGCTGATAAATGTATAGAGAAGTTCTTTTCGAAGTCATTGCTTGGGAAGAATTGTGTAGTGTGTGTTGGTGAAATGAACATCACTTATCACAAGCCTGATACAGACATTGAAGTTGATAAGTAATATTAATATGATGTGGCTACACTAAAACTCATACACCTGCACACGTGTTTTACCTGTTTCATTATTTCTTCCTGCCAGGTCACAATAAATATGAACTCTAACATGGGTAATGTTTGTTATATATATTTGTTACATGAAATTAGTGTTATTACCTTCAACATGAAGATCTGGAGTAGAATAGGTCTTCAGCAACCCATGCTTGGCGTAAAAGGCGACTATGCTTGTGGTAAAAGGCGACTAAGGGGATCCGGTGGTCAGGCTCGCTGAGTTGGTTGATGTATGTCATCGATCCCAATTGTTTGGATCAATGCTTGTGATGTCAATCACTGGACTGTCTGGTCCAGACTAGATTATTTACAGACCGCCGTCATATAGCTGGAATATTGCTGAGTGCGGCGTTAAACAACAAACCTACCTACCGTCAACATAGATATGAACGTTTTAGATCCTCTGGTGCTATACCGGAAATGAATTATTGTTGGACGTATGTTCTGTAATAGTATTTTGTGCGCACCAGGACGTACTTTAAGAAAGTCGAATCGGGAGTGAGGCTGACATCAAGCAGGATAACTTAGACATTTTTTTTAAATGCACTCAGAAAGGATTTTTTCTGGATAACAACTTTGTTCTTTGTAACGCTTCAGTGCTACTTTTACCTATTCACTGACAGGGGCGGTCGGGTAGCCTAGTGGTTAAAGCGTTCGCTCGTCACGCCGAAGACCCGGGTTCGATTCCCGACATGGGTACAATGTGTGAAGCCCATTTCTGGTGTCCCCCCGCCGTGATATTGCTGGAATATTGCTAAAAGCGGCGTAAAACCGTACTCACTCACTCACTCACTTCACTGACGAAAGCCGAGCAAGCTCAACAACGTGCTACCTTTGACATTGATACAACTATGAGGTGAAGTGGAGGTTTAACATCGCGTTTAAGGTTATACATCCGAGCATGTACGTGGGTGTGGCTGTTTGTACCAATCCGACTTATGTCGGTTTTAAAGTGCTAGCCCACTGAGATATGCTGCAATTTAACATGGATACCCCACTCCGACACATTATACTGACCCAAGTCACATGTCCTTGTTTTATCCCTTTAATGCCGAGCGACAGGCACTGCAACAAGAAGTGCCGCCTTATTACTTTTGTTGGTATGACGAGGTCAGCGGATCGAACCACCGACTTTCCGTTCTCGGGGCAGAACACCTTTAAAGTCCTAGTCTCGTCGTCAATACTTCACCGGTTTGCCTACATCACGGATGATGTAGAAAGAACGTGGTGAAAAGCATCCTGTGAAGTGTTGACGATGCTCTTGTCTAGCGTTGTAGTGAAATCTGGGGTATTGGATGAGCCGGATCTGGTGTGAATAATTTTATTCCACGTTGCTCAAAAGACCAAAAAGAAAATGCTGCATCAAAATGTAGCCGCAAATAGGCATTATAATTATTTGTTTGTTGTTTAACGCCGCACTTAGCATTATTCCAGCTATATGACGGCGGTCTGTAAATAATCGAGTCTGGACCAGACAATCCAGTGAGTGACACGATGACATCCATCAACCAAGTCAGCGAGCCTGACCACCCCATCCCGTTAGTCGCCTCTTACGACAAGCATGGGTTGCTGAAGACCTATTCTACCCCTCATTATAATTACGTTTGACACAAGGTATAAACATGGAAACGTTTCCTTCCTTTTTGGATTACACTGTACTCTTCCGTTTGTATAATAACACACGACCTTCACGTGAGAGGCCGTCTGAATCGATGGAAAGTGAAGGTGAGTGGAATTGGTTAATACCTTCCAAACAGTAACAGGACCCTACTAGATTCATTCATACTACTCAAAACAAGTTAAGGGTCAAACGTATATTTCTGCACGACCGTTAATTTGACATAGAAAACATAGGAATTGGACATTTCTGATCGCAAATAAGGTTGGGTTTAATGTGTCTTAAAGCTTAGCATTGTGTGCAAATCAAATGTTTAATTCCTATGTTTTCTATGTCAAATTTACATTCGTGCAGGAATATACATTTGCCCCATAACTTGTTTTGAGAAGTATACAAAAGACACAAAACCTTGTTATTTGTGCAAATCGCCCCAGAGCAATAGACAGTTTTGAGAGATAAACACTTGAAACAAAACCTACTCACGTTCAAACTTTAAGCCCATTTCTCAAAATGTGAAGGTATACACACATTCTACAAATCCCCCCAAAGCAGTACAGAAAATGTTGAGACCTATACTACTGAAACTAAATCTACTCCCTTTTAAACTTAAACCCAACTCTCAAAATGTGAAAGAATAATCTCATTGAGCTTATGCTTCTTTCTGTCTTTGTTTTTTAACACCGCGCTCAGCAATACTCCAGCTATATGATGGCGGTCTGTAAATAACCGAGTCTGGTCCAGACAATCCAGTGATTAA